ACTTGGCAGTAATAATTTATTGTCCTTCTCTTGAACAACTCAGATTTTAAACTGACAATAGAGGATTTAATTCCTTGAACAATATTTGCCTGCGTGTTAGCAAGGAAATTAATACAATGTGCTTAATATTTGAAAACAATTGCACAAAGTGCTGGCTTTCAAGCTAAAACCAGAGCCGGTCAAAAAGCACCTGTCAAATATTTGCCAAATTGATTTCGGTAATTAAGTTTTCTGGCCAAGGTACTGGGCCCAATTAAATTTAACAAAACTCCTTTGTGTGACTGCAAATTTGATGGACAGCTTTGGCTTCTGCTTGGGAAACATAAAACTTTGCAGCTATCTTTAAAGTTTCGAATATGTATATTCGCCTAACCGTCTGCAGATTGCTATCAAATATTCTTTTGTGTGCCAGAGCGTAAGAAGACAAAAAATAACATTTCGCCAGGGCAGAAGCTCTCTGACATAAAAACTTAACCGACATAGCTGAAGCTCACTGGATATGGAAGATGGTAGAATGGTAGACCGAGCAATCTGTATTTATTTTCATAAATATTTTCTTTACTCCGTCGCCTAGCCATTGTTTTTCCTCGCCGTCCTCCGTCTCGGTCGTTCGTTTAAAGCTTATTTCCTGATGTTCGCCGGGGAAAATCAATTGAATGCTCGACTAAACGAAAGATATTGCTTTGGTTTGGCTTTTCTTTGGCAATTTCCTTACAATTTTCAGTTGTCTTTTCGTACGCTTGGGGCAGGCACTAAGGGAAACACGAGTTTATCCAAGATTCATTTGCGAAACTTATTAAAAAGTGCTCTAGCCAGAATCGTCAATAGTCAACCGGCATCATCATCATCGGCATCGGCATCGGCATCGACATCCACATCGACTTCAGCCACATCGCTGTCTCTGGCACATCTCAGAAATTCCAACTGCTGTGCAATTGCCAACGCCATCGTCATTGCACAATTGCAATTCCTTCGCAATTGTAAAATGCAACAATTTTTAATGCGTCTTGCAACTTTTATTTCCACTTTTAATGCAAAAACTTCACCCGGCGCATGGCAATGACAGGGTACGGAGCAGCAGCCTCCATCTCCGTGCGCGGGAATGTGTTATTTTGTGGGTGGCCTGCCACTGCCACTCTGCTCCTCGGGGATCGTTACCCAGTAAAAATGTTCTGGCATTGCGCGCACAGGACCACAGGCGTAGCTCGAGGGGAAAAGCCAGCAACGAACCTTGCCCGCAGCAAATATTCCAGATTACTTTGAGAAATTGCAACTTTAGGATAATACTCACTGACTTTTTTACAGTGGAGCTGGTTTTTGATCACTTTACTTGTTGCCAAATCCCACAAGGATAGTTATGGTCAGAAGACAAGCGCAGCAGGTTTAAGATCAGATAAGATAAGATCAGATATACTAGCATATCACATAATTTATACTCTTAAATTTTAATAGAACTTTTGAAAACTTACTCCTAATGTGGTTAGCCAGAGGGATTTTAAAGGTGAGGGTACCTTAAACTTTTTGATTACTTTAGTTAGAAAAAAATGTTATATTTTGCATTTGATTTTGCCATTGATTACACAGGGGATTTATAGAAATCAGACCCATATTATATCCGCAGTAGGAAATAGCCGAATAAGTGTACCCAAAAAAATGGTCTGCGCCCATGCTTTCCTTTGTTCAATCAGACCGCCTTGTTATCTGTAAAGTACAAAATCAGAAACCTGAGGCAAGCCAGCCGAATGTATTAGAACGAATTGGTAGCATGCCATTGGAGGGGGTCCCTGAAAATCCGTTGGCATTTGAGTGATTCCCAGAAAATGGGCAACCTATAGTCTGGCAGTTGCCCGCAGCATCCACATTACCTCCTTGGCAGCAGAAATGAGAAAAGGACCTGAGTAAGTCGGGAGCGTAACATTTCCTGTTTGCGTTGCCATGATTTCCATGCCAGCTCCTCGCATTTCCGCTTCGCGTATGTAAATCCATCTGCGTGTGTGTTTCATCTTCTGCATCTTCGGCCCCATCGGCCCCATCTCGCCCAGCTGTTGTGTGAATGAGCGCTCGTGATGCCTGGGATAAATGTCTGGGCCACCCATCTCCCCCCTATTTTTCCTTTTATTTTTTTTGCACTTTTTTCCCCGGCGGGGCCAACGCCTTTCATGGAAAATATGCAATTTTATCGGTCTTTACAGATTTCCCATACAGAATGAAAGAAAGTTGAAACGACATAAAGAGGTAAAGAAAACGCATGGCATGAAAGACATTTGCCAAGCAAAGCGGAATACTCGTAAGGGGAAAATGTAAATATTTATCATGCCGGAGACAGCGACAGTGGCAGCTTCAACTTAAAGCGTCCTGCATAAACATAAATACTGAGCGCTGCAGCAGGAATGCCATTTTCAGCTTTTAGTTAATTGAAAAGTTGAAATTTATTCGAAAAATCCCGGGCAGCCATGACTCACAGCATTACTACTCGCACAGCGTACAGCGAACCAAAGTCAACGGGAAGACACGAGCAATTTTTTCGTTAAAAACGTGCCGACATTTCGGTTGTCAACACACACAGCACACACACTACACCCAGCACACACACCACACATAGCTCAGTGCGGAAAACAAAGGATGGCGCAGGGATAGCCTTGATATGGGGGAAAAATGTTAAGCTGTCCATGGGCAATACTCTCCGGTCCGCAGCATAGTTAAACTTTAGTTTTATGGCTGCAATTTAGTGAAATGTGTGTTTGTTTAGCCCGGCTCAACCGGAGTCATCTCGACCGGGCTCAACTCGTCTCGTTTTCAGTCCGCCCTGCATTGTGTTCGTTGTTTTTATTTTTGCCAATTGTTTAGCTTTATAAAATATACGGATTTAAACAGCTCTGCCCGGGAGCGGCAAAGATATATGGCCGCACTCGCACTCGCACTCCTTCTGGATCCCAGCTTTAGCTTTCCTGACCCGCAGAATGGAGCCGGGCGCAGCATTTGTTAATGAGGCCCACAAGAGCTTAGGAGTCCATAACATTTGTGCCGCTACTCAGGGTCCACAGTTTTCCGAGTTCGCAGCTCCCAGTTCCGAGTGTGTGTTCCGTGTGCTTGTGGCAGGGACAACGAACCGGCTAAGTACATTAAATTAACACCTAAAAGGTTGACAGATTTACACATTTTTATCTTAACCCAAATAAAACCACTTTAGCCCATTCTGCCGGCGAGGCGAGGTGAGGCGAGTGCGTAGCCCACATTAGGGATTAACATTGTAATGTGATGAGAGTAGGCAATGTGTATTTCCATGCAAATGGACTAATATGCTGGAATATGCTTGCCAGCAAAGATCCTTTTAGGATAGGTATTTGAAACAGGGTATCATGTTTTTTTGTGAGTGGGTTTTTACTAAGGTGTTCCCATTCAATGGATATCGGAGCTGGTTGAAATTAGTCAGCATATATCTACACATTCAAAGGTATTGTATGGGAGATTTCAATTTAGAGTTTACCTCAATTAAAGAGCTGTTTAAAACAATGCTATATAATGTAATATTGTGGAAAAATAATGCAAAATTAACACTCAGGACAACATTTTTAAAGGATTTTTGAAAACTTCAGTGATTTCTCTTAAGTCATGCTATGTTTTTCAGTTTCTGTGGTTTTAAATCTATTGTAAGGTTAAACCTTAATTATAAAGAATTTGGGAGCTTCTATACCAATAAATCAATGGACAATTTTGATAAAATCAAATCAAGATCCTACTTAACCTACTTATCTCCACGCATAATGGAAATAAAAATCCTTGCTAAATCAATAAAAGATCATCGCCTATCGTTAAAAATTCGAACCAATTCAAACATCAATCATTCGGTTTCCTATTTCCCATAAAACACATTCGTCGAACTAGTTCACAGCGGACCAACACGTTTTCAGGCAGTCTTTGCCCCAAGCTTCAGCTCTCAGAAAAGCCACGCCAGAGATGTGAGACTCAGAGGGCAGAAGGCGAGGTCAAACGGTGCCATAGCAAAGCGCTTTGCACCTGCACCACCGGTGACAAGGAGCAGGGGTTGAAGCAGCCCCATCAGCATCAGCCCCGACACCACAGACGTGCGCCGTCCTTAGTGCAGCCATAAAGTGGGCGCCAAAGCAGGCCCCATTACGGTGCACTCAAGAAAACGTTGTGAAAATTAGCTGTACCAGATTTAAGATTAATTTTAAATCAACCATGATGTCAAAAAGTATGCTGAAAACCCTTATACTGTACTAAGAAAAATCATTAAACATTTAATTAGCTTTTCTTGGACATATTTTTGATTGTTTCTAATAGCTTAACCCATTTTTAATGATATATCATGTATATATATTATTTATAGCTATGAAAGGTTATAAGCCAAAGTAGTTTGACCTTAACAACCTAAAAACAAATTGAAAACAACTATAAATTAATTTAAAACTGCTGTAGAATTGAAGTTGTATAATAATTCACATGAATTTACATTACAAATCTGCATAAAATTTTCTGCTCATATTTCTAATATTCACTTAATTAATTATTAATTAATTATTGCTGCAACCTTTCTAGTTTCTCTTAAGTCAAATGCGTTTCAAACCGATTTAAAGACCCACTTAATGAGATTTTTTCTGAGTGTAACGAGTTGGTGGTGCTGCTGATGCCAGTGCTGCATCTGCCGTTGCTTCTATGGCTGCTTGGCCGGATGCATTGACCAAGGCTATTTAAGGATGCCACGCTCTGATGCGTGGCGCAGTTAAGACCCGAGCCTGGCAGCGTAAAGGTCCTCTCCTCTCTGCTCCGCTCCGCTCCTCTCCCCGCTCTGCTCTGAACTAAACTGAACTGAACTGAACTGCACTTTGCTCCGGCTAGCAATCTGCAATCTCATAAAAGGAAAGCAGCCGCGCTGCGCTATTCGCCATTTCCACAATTGGTTATAGGTTAGCTTCGCCGCCAGCCTCACTTTTGACGCTAACGTTAATGCTGGAAATTTGCTTTTCTCACATTTGCAGATATTTCTGGATATCCGGACACGGAGGACGGAGGACTGGAAATCGGCGACGGGGACGGACGCTGAAATTGCGGCTCTAATAGAGCGGAGGCCACCACGTGCGGTGTATAATATTTGAAATCAAAGCGCTAAAGTCCAACCATGGCGATGGTGCACGTGAATCACAAGCTCAACATGCGCACAACGGCTGTCAAAATGAAGCGGACCCGACATCCTGCCGTATCCTGCTTCAATCCCATTCCCATTTCCATTCGCCGTCGCAGTCCACATCCATGTCCACATCGCAGTCGCAGTCCCACGCCCAGAAACTGAGGACGGGCTCAAGGCCAAGGAGCCGCCAGCCGGCGGAGAATCGGATAATTCAATCGCTTTTTCTACAAATTTACGGTTTACTTTGCCTCGGTTCCTGGATGGCTTGCATTAAAACTATCGGCGCTTCAATTGAGCAGCAAACGCTTGCGGAAGCGGATCCGGATGCACAAGATAAAGATAAAGATAAAGATAAAGAGCGGGAAGCGGAAAGGGAAACGGACACAGAAACGGAAACGGATGCCCGCATCATGGCAACGGGAATTTGCATTATAAGACTGATAACATTAAAGAGATTTCTAGAGGATTCCACAACCGACGAACACAATCAAAGGCGCCAGCCATCATCGGCCACGTCAACAGCGTCAGCCGGAGCAGCTGCCGCAGCTGCCAGCCAACCAAGAAGGAGGCCACCCCATTATCCCGGCTCCAGTTCAACTCAGCCTCCTGGCCACCCAGAGGCCACCCTGCTGCTGCTGCTCCTGCTCCTCACCAGCCTATGGCCCGAGGGCTGCGAGTGCCTCCATGGCGGCAGCAACACGGTGAAGACCAAGTACGGCCTCCTGCGGGGGATCGTGGTGCGCTCCTCGCCGCTGGTTGAGGCCTTCCTGGGCATTCCCTATGCCTCGCCGCCGGTGGGCAGTCTCAGGTGAGTCTCAGGTGGAGTCGCACGATTCAGTGTTGCTCAAGATTACGTCTCCCCGGGGAGTCGTGGTTTCGTGGTGGGGTGGATGGAATGTAAGCCATCCAAATGGAACAGGCAGCGTGACACTCACGACGAATAAGCATTTTTTGTGTAGTAAAGAAAGCCAGGGAGCGTCCTTTTTTTGGCACAAATATTCTTTTTTTTTTTAGCTGGCTAAATCTATTGTAAATAATGCTATTTGGATGGCTTATTTTTAAGAGTTCAAGAAAAAGATGCGCATTGATTTAAATTAATACAAAATTTGTTTTTATAAATTTATACTGTAAAGTTTCTAGAAGTTGAAAAGCGATTGTTTTTTTTTTTTTGTAATAATATTTTTTCTACTGAATTCGGTAGCACACAACTTTAATTTCATTTGAATTTTATTGGGCGTTTGTATATTTCAGAAATTAATGAGCGATTTCTTGAAAGTATTTACACTTTGACTTCTTACTAAAAGCATAATTAATTCTTTTCTAAAAATTCTTTTTAATTTTGATTTTTGCTTGGTTCTTGAGTTTTAATTGGATTTAAATTACCAACTCTGAAACCAAATGAAACTCCTTAATTTTCGTCATCGTGCCTAGGTCGCTCACGCCCGCACCTTCGGCCCGACCAGATATCGCAATCTGGATGCCACATGGGGGTCGTCTCGGGCTAAAAGGCTTGCCTCTCTTGGCCAACTTTTTTCACACTGCGCCGCAGCGCAACTTTATCCAAAGCAATTTTAATAATTATTCTCATGAAATATGTGTGTGGATGGTGCTTGGCACTATACTGCGGGTGCGGGTGCGGCCTGCAGGCTCCGGACTGCGGACTTCGGACCACGGACTCTTGCCGGCAAGTGAGAAGTTTACGGACCCCGGCCCCGGAAATCCCAAAGCATTGTTTGAGGATTTAAAGTTCCGCAGGGACGGGAACGAGCCGGTGGGCTGGAGCTGCTCGTAATGAAGCCAAAGTGCTACTTGGAATTAATCCACAACTTTGCACTGTGTACGTAACAATTAAAAAAGTTTTTTTTCTCCAAGTTAGTTTAGTTGGGTTGCGATTTAAAAAAAAAACCAAAAACATTAAACTTCCGCGGTTGTTTCTCTCGAGGAATCTCCAGACCCAATTAATAACAAAACAGTTGACGGCTCCGCAGAGCAACACGGCAGCACACGGACCACCGAAGGACCTCTGAGCCGCAAAGTTCGATAAGCCATTGCCAGGCAGTTGATGGTATTGAGCGGAAAGCTGAGCCCCCGAGTGAAGTTTCAGGGATATTACAAAAGTTTCCTCTTACTTGGGCACTTTCACACTTCTGTGCCAGATACATATATATACACATACATCGACGGATATACAGGCGTTGGCTTGCGAAGGAGTAAAAGCTTTGTGTGACATGCATGAACAACAAGTGTGTTTGATGAAGCGATTGGATGAAGTACTTAAAGGGTCCTTCAGCAACCGCCACCATCACCTTCTCTCCGTGCTCCGTGCTGCATGCTCCGTGCTCCATGCCTCGTGCTCCGTACTGTTTGCTTAGCCACAATTCATGAAAATTGTTCTTTAATTACTTCCTGCGGGAAAGTGTGACGCCTGCGGAATGAAGTCGTTTATGAATGCGGTTCATTATCATGCAGCAACAGATGTCGAAAATCGGCAAACAGAAGTTAATCAAAAGCCAAATCCCCCAGATCTTGGGGTTCCCAGGGCCTCTGAGGGAGGAAGAGTGCTGTAATGCTGCCTCTGCTGCTGCTTCTGCTGATAAAACGTGATTTTTGATGCCTGCTAGTGCTGGCTGCCAATTAATCAAGAGCATCTGTCGCCTATATTTTCTAATTTCAGATGCACAGAATATTTAAAAAGGAGCCCCCCTTATAAGCTGGAGACGAATATCGAATTTCGCTAAAAGCTTTTTATGTTTTAGATGGTTATTTATACTGGCAGTAAGCCTGTTAGCCAACCTGCGCAACAAATACTAGAGAATGTGGGTAAAAATGCAAAATAAAACATTCAAATGCACCCAAAAAAATAAAACAAGTATAAACGTTAGCTGTTAACACTCAAAAAAGTTGGGGAAAAAAAAAAACAAACAAAAAATTGTTCTATTTCGTTTATAAATAGTTTATAGCAAAAACTTTTTGCCACGACTTCCATTCGAAAAAGTATTAATTTTAGCCGGAGAGCCCAATGTCGAATGGGTTTTTCCGGGAGGGCGGAGTTACCGAAACTGCGAACGTGAAATGCACACGAACCAAGTCACGTAGAGTTGAAAAATTATGCTCGCCGCAAAGCGCGAGCTTTTTGTTTATGCGGTCCATTGTTTGCCTTTGGCCGGATGGCCAAAAATGGAGCCGAAGCGGCAGTGGGGAGAGTTGGTAGCTGCTAGCTGCGGCTTGGGGCAGGAGCCGTAGCAGTAGCCACAAAGGAGCAAAAAACAATCAAAAAGTTTCGCGTCAATTATCGCGTCATAAAATCAACATAGCAGCAGCCAAGCCATATTTATCGCCGATGCCTGTCTCCTTGGCTCATCCAATCCGCAATCAACAATCCGCCCTTATGATCGATGGATTTCAACGCAAAACAATAAAATGCACAATTAATCAAAAGCAGTTTGCAATTTTGATTGATGGCCGGTACTTAGTTTCTGTGCTTTACGAGCCCAGGGAATCCTTTCCGCTTAACCGCCGCTATCTTTCACATGTATGTACATATTCATATATATATGTATATGAGGCTATAATAATGGCCATCCAAAATCGAATTGGCATATAAAGATACCAAATTTATAGTAAATTATATGTTGTGTTGGTCTTTAGTTTATAGAAAGATAATGTTGTCCTCAAGGTTAAATGCAAAATATTTTCATAGACTTCCGAAAGTACATAATTTCTTATTAACATTAGTTATTAATATTATATACAAATGTTCAATACAAATATTATTATAACGTATCTTAAGGTAAAGTTATTTAATTTAAAAAGAGCGTTGTCTCTATTTGTCTTTTTCCACAAAATTGCAAAGGTGTATTTAGCTCTAGAGTCAGCCTATAATATTTTAAGAGCATAAAAGTCGTACTGGTTATGTGCCTATTAATAAAACTAATAGGATAAGGAAAATTATTATTTAGAAAGAGTATTCCCACAAGAATTGTAATAGTATAATTGTAGTGACAGAAGCTTTTAAACCATAATAACTTTTATATTTAATATCCAAGTGAATTTGTTGGTTAATAAATTAAATAGCCAATTAAATCAAATTAAAAATTAAAATAAAATGTTACATATGTTGACAAGGACCTATATTAAGATTAACAACTTGTATATTTAAATTTTTATAAAGGTTTCATCCATTAAATTAGAGCATAGCTCTTATTTTGAACTTAGTTGTATATATTTGCGGGAATACTCTGCGTATACGTGATACTCGTTTCTTTTTTCCCATGTGGCCAAAACAGTAAATTTACTTATCGCTACGAATATTGCTCCTCTCTCTGTGCCTTTTCCAGATTTATGCCCCCCATAACGCCCTCGACGTGGAAAACGGTTCGCTCCGCGGATCGATTCTCGCCCGTCTGTCCGCAAAACGTTCCCATCCCGCCCAACGGACCGGAGGCGCTCCTGGAAGTGCCGCGCGCTCGCCTCGCCCAGCTGCGGCGCCTGTTGCCGCTGCTCAAGAACCAATCGGAAGACTGCTTATACCTAAATATCTATGTGCCCTACGAGACGCGCCGCCAGAAACGTATGTGTTTGTGTGGAAATTTATATAGCCTTAGAAAGTTAAACAATAGAGTAAATATTGGTCTTCCTACCACAACCTAAAATGGTATCGAAGCTTTCAATTCCGTAGTGCATTGCAGTGTTTCAAAGTCCCAACTGCAAGCATTGTGGGATTGGCAGCATTGACCCACCATGAACATCGCCTGAAACAGAATCGCCTGTGAATAAAATAGTTTTGCTCAAGTTGAGAACTAAATAAAAACATGCCCTACCTTAAATTTCGACAGGTAATATCGATGATTCTACTGGCGAAGCTAAGACCAAACTGTCCACTGTGGTATTCATACATGGCGAATCGTACGACTGGAACTCAGGGAATCCCTACGATGGCTCCGAGCTGGCCGCCCACGGCAATGTCATTGTCGTGACAATCAACTTCCGTCTGGGGATCTTTGGCTTCCTTAAAACCGGCGGCAAGGAGAGTGCCCAGGGCAACTTTGGGCTAATGGATTTGGTTGCGGGCCTGCACTGGCTCAAGGAGAATCTCCCCGCCTTTGGCGGAGATCCGCAGAGTATCACGCTTCTGGGTTACGGCACCGGAGCTGTGCTGGCCAACATATTGGTTGTCTCCCCAGTGGCGAGTGGTAAGACCTGTTTTACTATGTCAAGCCTGTTCTCTTTTCACTGAGAATAAGTCTTTGCTATAAAAAACTTATGATCTTGTAACACTTTAAAATTATACTAATATCTTTGATAGATTTAATACAACGCACCGTTCTGGTCAGCGGAAGTGCCCTGTCGCCTTGGGCCATTCAGAAGAACCCGCTCTTTGTGAAGCGTCGGGTGGCGGAGCAGACTGGCTGCCATGGCGACATGCTATACGATGACCTGGCGCCCTGTCTGCGCACCAAGAGCGTTGCGGAGTTGCTGTCGGTGAAAGTGGATCACCCGCGGTAAGTGAGGCAATCGAGTTGGACATTTAATAATATAACGCGAAAAGTTGGAAATGCTAATTGCCGCTTATCCTTATCCTTGTTTTCTTGCAGTTTTCTCGTGGGTTTCGCTCCATTTGTGGATGGTACTGTAATATCGCCAGGCGCCAATCCCTTGGGCAGCACCACGCTGCCTCTGGGATCGGCTATTGTTAGGTAACTATACACAAATTACAATTATAATTTCACAGTTAATCGCCTTTATGAAATCCACAGTACTTCAGGAATTGAATATGCAAACTTTCCGAAACGAGACCTCATCTTCTGCCTTACATCTGTGGAGTCCTATTTGGATTTGAGTGCCCAGGACTTGGAGTTCGGCTTCAATGAAACACGGCGGGATCGCATCCTGCGCACCTTTGTGCGCAACAATTTTCACTATCATCTGAATGAAATATTTGCAGTATTGAAGGTGAGACAACTTACCCTTCAAAGTTATGGCTTCACCTTTAGCTTTCATTTCATTAATACCCAGAAAGCACTTTGGCTTTAATTCAAGGATTTAATATTCCGAACTTAACCTCTTCTCCGGTCCGATACTATAAAAAAATCCATAACTTTGCTTATTGCAGAATGAGTACACCGACTGGGAGAAGGCTATACGTAATCCTCTTAGCTCCCGGGACGCCACCCTGCAGTTTCTGAGCGATGGCCACACGGCCTCGCCGCTGATTAAATTGGGCTACATGCACAGCTTCCGCGGGGGACGTGCTTATTTTCTGCACTTTAAACACAAAACCATAGAGGAGGAGTATCCACAGGTAAAAGCGGTCTTTGAACGGAGAGAGGGAGCTACTTAAATCCATGCTTTAAATTCCCCAGAGAACTGGATCCGTGCGCGGCGAAGATGTGCCTTTCTGGCTGGGCCTGCCCATGTCCCCGCTCTTTCCACACAATTACACGACTCAGGAGCGCCAAATTGGCAGACTTATGTTGCGATATTTGTCCAATTTCGCCAAAACCGGGTAAGTTTAGGGAAAATATCCAGCAGCAAACTGAAAAACTCCTAAAACGTAAATTAAATACCTTACTTTATTTCTTTGATATTTATTTGAAACGCACAGCAATCCGAACCTATCCTCGGTGAAACCAGGGCTAGCTAATCCAAGCGAGGACTTAAATCCTGCCCTGCATCATCAGAAGAAACGCTCTACTGGCCTAACCCATCCCAACCTTAGTGAGGCACTCAACCTGGCCGTGATCTACAACCAGCGCAGGAGCAATGCCATGCACGAGAAGCGCTCCTACATCCGGAGAAGACTCCGGAGCAACGATGCCGCCTTTACCCAGCTGGGCATATCCAGTGACCGTGATGTGGGCAGCTACGATGGCGACGAGCTGCCCTTTTGGGATGCCTACGACGTGGTCAATCAGCTTTACGTGGAATTGGGTAAGCAAAAGATATAAAATTACCAGGCAAGATGTAAATTCAAAATAAATTATTTCATTTCAGGCAACAAGGCCAACATTCAGAGCCATTATCGAGGTCACAAGCTGTCCATGTGGCTGAATCTCATCCCTCAGCTGCACCGCCACTTCAACATCAATGACCAGTCGATGAGACATCATCAGTTTCAGGACGATATGAACAACAGGGATCTCTATGAGGGTAAGATTTAAGGGAAAGGATAATATGCTTAATGTGATCTCTTAAATCGTATTCCATATTCTTAGGCGTTGTGCGGCCACAGTTGCAGACGAAGCCAGCGGACGATGATCACATACTCATCATGCAAAAGAGCAGAGCTACGACGACGGCGGCACCGCCACCGCCGCCGCCTCAAAAGGTCCCGAGTACAAATGCCACACAAGCCTTGAATCCCCTGGCCACAGGAGCAACCACCACCACAGGTGAGCTTAAATACAAGTCATTTAACTAACCTTCCCCTTTCAATCGCTTCCCAATCTCTTCCATTGCAGAATGCGGCATCGATGGGGCAATGTCCGTGTCCGAACTGACCACCACTCAGGCGCCAAAGGACAATCGAACCGGAGTGACTCGAGTGGAAACACAAAAAGACCTAGCCACCGCCTCTACGGGTATTATTGGGAATCTGGAGCTGCTCAGGCGACTAAGTGGCAAGCAGTTCCAGAGCTACACGACCGCCCTAATAGCCACCGTGGCCGTGGGCTGTTTTTTGCTCATCCTCAATGTTCTGATCTTCGCGGGCATTTACCATCAGCGTGAGAAGCGGGCTCGCGATGCCAAGACCAAGGAGGAGCTGCAGGAGAGCGACACTAGCAAGAACTCCAGCATGCTGAAGTTAAATGCCTTAATGGGCGCTAGCGGTGGATCCGGTGCCGGTGATATAGCCGATGCCTATACATTAAGCGGCTCCGTAGTGGACAGCAAGGGCGGAGTGGGCGTGGTCTTTGGAGAGTACAGCTGCTACGATGAGAAGACCAAACAGCTAAAAGAAGAGAAGCTCCTGGTGGAACTGCCGCCATCGTCGTCGTCGTCAACGGGTCAGACTTCACTAATGATGGACACCTGGGGAGCGTGCTCTACCAGTACTTTAGATCTGCTCAAGACCAAGCCGGGGGATCCTTCCATCGAAATGGTCACCTACGGCGTCCTGCCAACGGTAATAGAGTCCACATCAGCGCAGAGCAGCAAGCGTGGATCCTTCGTCGACACAACAATGCAGTTTAATAGTCCGCAGCAATTCGACTATGCAGTCCAATCCTCGGATCAAATGTCCTTCAAGGCGATAGAGGAGGCAGTCAAGGCGGCAGCCGTGTCCGACACGGAGATCACCAGGGACGATGATATACCCGAGCCTCCGCCACCACCGCGATCCTTTCTAGCCGCCCAACAACAGCAGCAGCAACAGACAGGCATCCTGAGGCAGACAGGGGCCGGAGGAGGCTCGACGACGGGAGCAGGGAGCAGCAGCGGCAAAAAACGTGTACATATTCAGGAAATCTCAGTCTAGCAATCATTACCCTCCTAGTAAACCATGTGTGAGCCTATTTTAATGTCTCTTCTACTTATTTTTCTGGCTCGAACAGAATCAATAACCTTAACTTGCCCAACATTTATAGAATAAATTCGGTTGGCAACTAAAACGAGATCTATTAAAAATATATCCAACTATTCTCGAGTTATTTAAGTTCGGTTCTCTGGTAGCATTCACTTAATTTATATTCTCCATATTAGTTCCTTTACCACCTGTCCCCAAAAAATTAAATGAATATAATAGATGGAATCTGTTCTTTCCCTAAAACAAGGCAAAAAATCGTTGTAACCGTACGTATTATGTATGTTTGTATATTATGTAAATGTTCCTTGTAGAAGCGAATGAGAGGATATGGATATGTATTGTGTAGGAATCATTTTTCAACGTGTTATCATTGTGTGTATAGTTTATGTTCCTTTTTAATGTACGATTAGGATCTGGTATTATATTGTATTTGCTTGTTATTTAATAATTAGCGAAATCAAACGGAATATGTAAGAAGCTTTTAATAATTTAAAAAAGAAACAAAAAACAAACCGCAAACTAATAACTATGATAAACATATTGTGTATTTAATGTATTGTAAAATATTGACTCTATTTGTATGAAATACATATGTATTACAAAAAAGTACTCATTATACAATTTTAAAATCGACTTCCTTATAGAGAAAATGGTAAAGTTTATGCACCTCCCATACCTTAAGGCCTATATTAACAGAAGCAATTGAAAACAATGTATGCTTCTCTGGAGGCAGTATATATAGTAGTTGGTAATTTGTACTATACAGTTGGATTTTTTTAAAACAAGAGGAATTCTATGGCTATAAAGGTTCACTTTTTATTTCTTTTTTCATTTTTTTCGCTTTTGGCGCCGCCTCACCGTTTTCAGACGCCTTCTTACTACGCTTTGACGAAGACTTCTTTTTCGACGTTTGGACCTCATCTGGTTCCTCCTTTAGTGATTCTAGGAGGGCATCCAACATGTCATCGGGATCCTCCTTCTTGATTTCCTCTTCCTTCTCCTCCGGTTCAGGGCTGCCAAACTTGATGGATTTGTTCTGTATAAATATACATATACATAAATAGCAAGCGAAATCGCAAGTAATCCTTATGACTCTCACCTGTGGCTCCTCGCCGTCCTCCAACTGCAGTTCTCCCTCGATATACGGCATGGCATTGCTAATGTCGAAGTTCTTGATCCGAAACTTGATCTCCTGCTCCATGGCCATACTCTCGCGGCTGTGCTTCTTGTTGGTGAAGCGGATGGTGGTATTGAAGACGCGGTAGATGATGGCGCTGACCTGATGCTTGGAGATGTGCCGCACCACTCCGTCCAGAATGGCCCCGATCACCGGTCGGAATACGTAAAAGTCGGCATTGATGACTAGGTGCATGGTAGGATCGTCGGCTCGCAGTGCCGCCGTGTGGCCCAGCATCTTAATGTTCTTGATGCCGAGCACTATGCCATCAAGGCCGGAGTCGTATATGCCCACCTTGGTGCGGATGAGGAGCTCGTGGAGCGCGTGCTTGAAGCTGGCCATGCCGTACGGCCCCATGGCCAGGTGCATGTCTGTGTTGAGGCATCGCACGCAGGAGTCCGGGTTGGAGGCGTACTTCTCCAGCTCCTTGCCGGAGAATTTTATGTATTTCTGTAGGATTTTAGCCATTTGAAGTAATGAAAACTGTCGTTCGAAATCAACCACATGAGTTGCATTTGGAGATCTGGCAGCCCTCGAAGGTACACAGTGCTGCCTGACTGCATATCGCTTAAACAAAATACACAGGAAAAAAATGTTATAATTTTATAAATATATTTTCGTTGATTTTTGTTTACACCGATCACCTGCTACACCGTTTAATTGTTTTTAGGCTTACTATTATGCAATAATTGTATTCTTTGTATAAATAACTACTACTTTTATAAAAAAGTCACGATATTGGGGTTTTCACTAAACGTGATTTTCACATCTGGCAACGCCAGGAGGCAGCGTTGCCCACCCGCCGACGGAGCATGCTGTATTGTGTGTGAAGAAAACGGAAAAAAAGAAGCGCTAGGAAAGGAAAATAAAGTAATACGAAGTTTTTATCGCCATCAATATGGGAGTTCCAGCATTCTTTCGCTGGCTGAGCCGGAAGTATCCGAGCGTGATCATAGAGTGCAATGAGAACAAGCAGGTTGACCCGGACACCGGCCGGAACACCTACGAGGACGCTACGTTGCCGAATCCGAACGGGGTCGAGTTCGACAATCTTTACCTGGACATGAATGGAATCATCCACCCGTGCACCCATCCGGAGGACAAGCCGGCGCCGAAGAACGAGGATGAGATGATGGTGGCTATTTTCGACTGCATCGACCGGTTGTTTGGCATCGTGCGACCAAGGAAACTACTCTACATGGCCATCGATGGGGTGGCGCCGCGCGCCAAGATGAACCAGCAGCGGTCCCGTCGTTTTCGGGCGGCCAAGGAGACCTCAGAAAAGCGCCTGGAGATCGAGCGGATCAGGGAGGAGCTGCTCAGTCGCGGGTGCAAACTGCCGCCCGAGAAGGAGAAGGGCGAGCACTTCGACTCCAATTGCATCACGCCGGGCACACCCTTCATGGACCGGCTCAGCAAGTGTCTGCACTACTATGTGCACGATCGGCTGAACAACAACCCAGCCTGGAAGGGCATCAAGGTGATCCTCTCGGACGCCAATGTGCCAGGCGAGGGTGAGCACAAGATCATGGACTACATCCGCAAGCAGCGGGCCCAGCCGGATCACGACCCCAACACCCAGCACGTCCTATGCGGTGCGGATGCCGATCTCATTATGCTCGGGCTGGCCACCCACGAGCCGAACTTCACTATCATTCGCGAGGAGTTCCTGCCCAACAAGCCGCGTCCCTGTGACATCTGCAACCAGTTTGGCCACGAGATGGACAAGTGCGTGGGCCTGGGGGCCACTGCGCCAACTGGTGGCAACTTCAAGCCCGATGTTCCAATTGGTGCCGAGGTTAAGTTCATCTTTGTGCGGCTAAGTGTGCTCCGGGAGTACCTGAAGCAGACGCTCGAGATGCCGAACCTCCCCTTCGAGTATAGCTTTGAACGCGCCCTAGACGATTGGGTATTCATGTGCTTCTTCGTGGGCAACGACTTTCTGCCCCACTTGCCGAGCTTGGAGATTAGGGAGGGCGCGGTCGATCGACTCGTGGAGCTGTACAAAAAGTGCGTCTACAAGACGAGAGGATATCTTACCGACTCGGGCGACGTTAATCTGGACAGGGTGCAGCTGATCATGACCGATCTGGGCAATGCCGAGGACCAGATCTTTAAGAACCGACAACGGCGTGAGCAGCAGTTTAAGGCCAGGGACAAGCAGCGCCGTCGGCAGGAGAGGAACGAGGACCACAAGGCACTGGATCAGTCGGTGTTCGGTGCCAACGCCGTGGGACAAAACAATGCGAAATCAAACATTGCTAACTACAAAGAGGCAGCCGCAGCCCTTCGCCTGGGCAAGAGGACGAGTGACCAGGCTGGTCTACAGGACGACGATGACGAGGAAGAGGAGGTCAACGACGAAGTTAGGCTGTGGGAGGATGGGTTTAAGGACCGCTACTACGAGTCCAAGTTCGATGTGGCACCTGGCAACCAGCAGTTCCGTTACGCTGTGGCCCTACAGTACGTAAGGGGCCTGTGCTGGGTGTTGAAGTACTACTACCAGGGCTGCGCGTCATGGAACTGGTATTTCCCGTACCATTATGCGCCCTTCGCCTCTGATTTCGTCAACATTCAGGGCCTCTCCACTCTATTTGAGCGGGGCACCAAGCCCTTCAACCCACTGGAACAGCTGATGGGCGTTTTCCCGGCAGCAAGTAGCTCCCATGTGCCCGAACCATGGGCCCAACTCATGTCCAGTCCGGAATCGCCTATCATTGACTTTTATCCGGAGGATTTCAAGATCGATTTGAATGGCAAGAAATTCGCTTGGCAGGGCGTGGCCCTCCTACCTTTCGTCGATGAGAAGCGTCTCTTCAAGGCCCTCGTTCCGTACTACGAACAACTAACCGGCGAGGAGGTGAGACGTAACAAGCGGGGCGAAAATTATCTGTACATTAGCACTTCGAGTCCGCACTACAACAAGGTCCAGAAACTAACGGAAAAGTCAACTGGGGATGAGTTCAACGCAATCTCCTTCAGCGGGATGCGAGGCACTCTGGGAAAATCGGAACTGAACACTGACATAAGGGGCTGCCTTAGGTCACCGATATCCGGGCTGCCGGACATCAATGAGAACACGATTGTGACGACGACGTTCCGGGATCCGGAGTACGATGACGATTACATTTTTGAAGCGAAGCGACTGCCCAATGCCGTTGATCCTCCGCAGGTGCTGCCCTCCGAGCAGGGCCAAAAGCATCGTCCAGTCATCGGGTTCAATAGCCACTCGAACCGGGCCTATGTACCGGATAGTGGACATCGGATGTTGAATGCCGGAATTCGAAATAATTATGGTCAAGGTGGTGGCGGAGGAGGAGGAGGGTATGGACAAGGCGGAAGCAGCGGGCGGGGAGGACAGGGCTATCAAAATAATAGTCGCAACTATAACTACAACTACAACAATAACTACAACCAGGGCGGTGGTGGCGGCGGCGGCGGCGGCTATCAAGGGAACTACAATAACCGCCAGCAATACGGCCAGAACCAGAGATACCAACCAGACAATTCCAATCAGCAAAGGAACTACAATAACTACAACAATGGAAGGAATAATAACTACCACCAAGGCGGCGGTAACTGGCAACAGCAACAGCAAAATTATAAACGCTTTTGATCATACAACACAAATATATATATGTAGATTAACGACATAATCAGCGTTCATTTACAAAAATAGACATAAGAACAATGTTTTCAATACAATATATTTGATATTTTTAATCAAAAAGAAAAACAGTTACATCAATTTACACTCGACTCAATATCTATGTGTCTCTGTGCCTCAATCAAAAGAAGTCAAATTATGCAATTAAAACAAGGTATATAGCGAAGCATTACGCAGCAATCATAGGCACACTTTTTGTTGGAACATAAATATCATTTTATAATATTGAGAATAAAATACTATAGACAGAACTATTTGGAATGTATTTAAAAAGGAGTTTGTCTGCAGAGTTTATGAGTAGTAAAAAGAAAGTAGAATGGGTCCATCATTAAATGTTTGCAAACTGGTTGAGGTGTAAGCTCAGAGCCTCTAAAACGGTGCTACATAATGTCCAGTATTTTTCCATTTTTGGGCCCCCCATCATCTAAATCCCCACCGAGCACAAAAATAATAACCAAAAATATTTCCACCATATAGAATTTGTATTCGTTATATTTAACGAATTATCTCGTTTATCAGTTTCGCTTTCCATATGTAACACAATAAATATTTTAATTTTGAAAACAATACTCATTTACAGCTATTTGTTTATCTTAAACATCTACGATGAGGACCTCCTTCTTATCTTAAAACAAATGTGTATTTTCTCAGTAAAGAAAATTTCACTGAACTTGGAAAAAAAATATAGATATTATATTAGCCATGCTTGTTGTTGCTTCACGAACTGTGAAAATAATCCGGGAATGGCGGGGTACACGATCGGCCGAAGCGACAATTTTTTAATATTGTACAATATCTTTAATATGATTAATATATTAAGTGTAACACAATGTGAGCTTAGAGTTCACGTTCTATTCGGAAGAGTTTGGCTACCGGTGTTTGAATCGCGATCTTATCAAACATTGCTGATAACGTTCTTGTTGCGATCGGCCACCAGGCTATCGAAGGGTGTGCGCATGCGTCGCGTGAAGGAGCGAAGACATCGCTGACCATCCAGACTATCTGGGTTGTTGTTCGCCGCTAGGAGATTAACTACAAACGAAGAAAATTATAGAAGAAAACTATAGAGCTAAAGTCTAGCTACTTACCCCGTTGTTCAAGTGTTTTAATTTGTTTCTTTGCCTCTCTTAGCTTGTTCATCAGTATCTCGTTCCTACGCTTCTCCACTGTCAGCTCCAGACCTAGCTGAAGCTTACTCTTGGACTCGACAGAGCTAAGGATTCTGAAAACACACATGAACTATATAATATTATACTTCTTTTTAGCGGCGATTTAAAACTTACGAATGACTGAATATGGAATGGGAGCTGGGCCTCTTCTCCGGATCTGGATGCATCATCTGGGCGATTAGTTCGTTGAAATCTTTGCTCAGACTAGGCAGAATGGGCACCTCACCGTCTCGCAGCTTATGCCAGTCGGGACCATTTTTGGGCAGTGGACCGCCGCCGGCCGCCTCGTACAGTGTTATGCCCAGCGAAAATATGTCGGCCTTAAATAGATTGGAGTAGTTCTCCTGTAGGATCTCTTTGGACAGGTATCGGCAATCGCCCTCCTCCACATGCGGCTCCTTGACGGACGTCACATGGCCCAGGTCGCCAATCTTGTATGTGACTAGGTTGTCAGAGTGTCGCAGCTCCTCGTAGACGCTATCCATTCCATCGTCGTCATCATTTTTTGTTTGCTGCTGCTGCTGCGCCTGAAGTTCAGTCAGCTTGTGTGCGTTCGTGTTCATAGTGGAGAATATGTTCTCCGGCTTGATATCCATATGCACCAGGTCATTGGAGTGGATGTAGCGCAGTCCCTCGATCACGTGCATGAGAACAATCTTGAGCTCGCACTCCCCCAAGCAGTGATCCTGGATGCGGGCATGCAGACTCCCGCCATCGCAGAACTCGTTCTGTATCAGCATGTGATCGTCCTCAGCCCAGGCGGAATAGTACCTAACCACATTGTCGTGCTTGCCCAGCACGGCATGAGCCCAGACCTCGTTCAGGGCTCTTTTCCTGTAAAAAGTCAAGGTAAAGATGGTTAAATGTTATACTTCACGAAATCCCTGCGTCGTGAGAGACTTACTCAAAGGAGCTGCCTGCCACCGGCTTTTTGCTCTTCTTGATCGCATAGATGCACCCGTCCAGCCGGTTGACGCACTGAAATACAACACCAAACTCGCCAACACCAATTACGTTAACCTGCATGAACTCGCGCTTGAAACGGCTTATGTTGGTGTCGTGCAGGGCGAGGCGCTTCGGCGCCTGCTGGTGTATCTCGCGGCCCGAGTCGCCTTCCGCATCCGCCGCATCCTCGTCGAAGGCATCTGAGCTGAGCAAATACTTTTGCATGGCATTCACATTGAGGTTCTCACGTCCGAATTGGGTGCGGCAGCGCTTCTTATTGTGTGCCAGCAGGCCTGCCAATAAAAAAACAACAAATTACAATCAAATTCAGTTGAAACCAAGTTTAGTTGTTCCTAAATCTTAATAAAATGAAAATTAAAGTCCAAATAACAGTCAAAACAAGGATGTAGGAACCTAGTTAGAGTTAAGAACCCACGTAAGACTTACTGTCGGGTGTAAAGGGATTCACATTGGCCGTGTCCTGGGCGGGAATGTTACGGTTGTGCAGTGGCAAGGACCTCGGGCGCTCCGAAATCCGGAAGGGCTCCTCGCGGGATGCATTCACGGCGGCTGCCGCAGCCGAGAGATGGTTGCGGCACTGAGTCGTTGACTTTTGCAGGATCGTTTTCGGTGTAGCTGGCGTGCTAAATAGGCGCAAGGCTCGCACCTTCTGGCACGGCGGCGACATGGACACATCACCGCTACCGCCCTCTCCAGCGGCCAGCTTCTTTCTCTGCTGCTGCTGCTGCTGCGGACTGGCACCGTCGGGCTCGTCCTTGTCAAAGTCGTCGTCGGCAAAGCGTAGCTTGCGCCGATTGAAGAGCTGCGGGGACGGAGAGCGCGATCGCAATTCGACGCTTGAATCGAGCGAGGTGACGCTCATCTCGTGATCCGGTTGGCGAAATGCCATGGTTGCTGCTGCTACTGCCAACCGTTCAATTGTGATCCACTTTTTTCACGCTCGACAATACTCGGCAAAGGTGCACAATGGGTTTTCAGTTGTTAAAAAAAAAGGCAAAACAAAACACAAAACAATATCAAACTGGAAGAATGCGATGACACTAATGTGACCGTATCCCGAGCGCCAAAAAATAACAAACGACGAGAATAAATGTACCAAAAAATGCCACCAAAGTGATCGCTTTCTCGGATCGGTTTTTATAATTTTTCCTGCTGCTGTTGTTGCAAAAAGGTGTACCGACAGGTGTGACTGGTAATTCAAGAGTCGCTGAATTGATATTTTTTATTAGGAAAAGAAGTTATGAGAAATAACGCATTGAAAATAAAACAGAGTTGCCAGACCGAGTGCTTTTAAGTGTGACCAACGCACTGCCAACTGAATTTAAAAACTGAATTTAAATTTTCACATAATCAATTGATTTATTATTTATAGGTAATTTTGTGTAATTTACCCAGGGCTACGTTAAGTTTTAAAAAACGCAGAGTTGCCAGTTTAACTATTAAAAATAGTAACCTCCCAGTATCAGTTGAAATTAAAAACGGTTTTTTTTTGGCATTTAATTTATTGATTGAATATTTGTGTGTATTTTAGTGTCCAGCGTATTTGCTATATAATTCAAACACACATCTCAAGAATCCATACATATGTATTTGTTTAATACTTAACTACGACATCAATGTACGAATATAATAATTATGCAGTTTCAAGACCTAATTATTATAAATATTGAAACACGCATCATACAGATCTTTTGGAGTCGAAGAAATATCGAGTGTATTGTGAGTTGTATTTGTTGGGTGTGTGTGTGTAATGTGTAGAATTGACATAAAAATGGTGGCGATGATTTGTTGTCTCCTGCACAAATTCGAGTATATTATTCCAGGTGTAAGCAATAAAAATCCAAAGGCAAATCAATTTACATTTAGCAAAAAATCTTGACTAGATCGAGAATCTGAGAAAATCCGCGGCTGCCGATCCATGTTTAACTCTCTATCATTCCGTCAAAGTCAAGGACCCTCCGAAGCGCTCTGTTTGTTCTGCATGTGCTTATTATTGTTTTTCTTTTTGTTGTTGTTGTTGGAACAGAGGAATACCTAAAAATATGCATACTCGCGAGTTCCACTATAAATTAAGACCCTTAACTAATATGGTTCTGGACAACTATGTAAACCCTAGAGAATGGATACTGCATGAAAAGTTTTTCTTTTTTGGAAATCTGTCTGTGTCTTGTTACATTGTGAGGTCTGGGTCTGGGAATGAGGGTAAGTCCAGTTGTCGCCCCACTTCGCCGATTCATCAGGAGTTGCAGCAGGTTCAGGCCCGCTTCTTCGTCGTCGTTGTCGTCGTCGTGCGCCGGGCCCTGTCTGCATCCGTCCGGTGTCGCTAGTCCCTGGATACGGACCGTGAAGCGGACGAGTCACCACGACGCCTGGGTGGCGGCGATCCGCGACGCACTGCCGGCGACGCCGATCGTGAGCGGGATCGTGATCGTGATCCCCTCACCCGGTCATCATCATCATCGTCGTAGCGCCGTTTTGGCGGCGGTGGCGAGTCCACAGCACCGCTGCCATTGCGCTCATGATCGCTGTAACGCGGCACAGAAGATCCGTTCTCGTCGCGTCCATTAGAGCGACCGGATCGGCGGCTCACCGAGGCGGCGGAGCGGCTGCGGGAGCGAGTGGCGGACTTGGAACGAGTACGCCGGCGACGGGATGTGCTGCGAGATCTGCTGAACGAGTTGCTTCTGTAAGTAGCAGAAATAATTTTGATTTAAAAAACGGTTTACTTAATTTATAAATAGTACTTTAATTTAATCCAATTTTAATAAAAGCTTTAAAATATATATAGGGAAAACTTAAAATTAAGTTATTTATTTTATTTTTTACTCCATTTCCCTGAAATCCCGGGGATTAAGTCATGATTTCTTTTAGGAAAACATAGTTGTTTTTTTGTTTTTAAAAGAAAATTATTCTTATTTTGCAAGAAAGAAAAGTAAACTAGAAAAACGAATATATAAAATACAACATCAACTCTCAATACCTAGGTTTTCTCTGTAGCTTATTTATGTTTTCCAAGAAATCTCAATTAATCTCAACTATTTGTTGAACGTTTTAAAGAGAATGTACGTAACACTGTAATAAATAAATAAAAACGGAACTTATTGAACCTTTTCCCAAATTTTATTTAGCAACACAGATTTGCACACCATAAATTTGTTATAAAAGATTGTCATGTAGATAGCTCCCCTAATCTTCTTTTTCCTCAATGCTTGCCGCCTTTTTTCTTGTAGTGCTTTTGGCCATGTTTCTTGGAGCCCTTCTCGCCATGCTCCTTCTTTTCCTCGTAGCTGTCGGCGTGCTTGTGACCCTTCTTGTATTTCTTGTGATCCTCGTCGTGGTGTCCTTTCTTGTAGTGACCATGGTGCTTCTTGTGGCCCTTCTTCTTGCCGCCCTCGTGCTTTTCACCCTTCTTATGCTCGCCGTGTTCTTCGGCATGATGGTGGTGCTCCTTTCCGTACTTCTTGTGATGGCCACCCTTGTGCTCGTCATCGTAGAACTTCTTTTCCTTAATGTATTCATCCTTGTTGAACTTTTTGTGGTACTCCAGCTCCTTGTGCCCCTTCTTGTGCTTCTTTTTGTGATGATGCTTTCCGCCCTTCTTGTGGGCACCGTGCTCGTGCTTTTCACCGTGCTCGTGCTTCTCGTCGTAGTGCTTTTTCTTCTTGGACCCCTTGTCGCCGTGGTGGTGTTCGTGATCCTCCAGCTCGTGGTGCTTCTTCTCGTCCTCCTCCCACTCCTTGTGCTCCTTGTGACCGTGCTCACCCTTGTGTTCCTCGGCACCAAATTTCTTTTTTTCGAATTTGTCGCCACCTTCTTCCTCCTCCTCGGATGATGACCCTTTCTTTTTGGCCGCCGAGTAGGACAGCAGCAGTCCCAGGACTAGCAACAGCTTGAAATAACTACCATGCATCTCGCATTCTTTTTTCTGTCAACTGGGCGGCAAGCAGTGGCAAGTGCTTTTATATTATTTCGTGGACCACTGAATGCATGGCGTCTTTTGGCGGCGTGATGCAAGCAAACCTCGGGAGCTGACGCAAAAATTTTCCGCTTCACGGCTTCACTCTACCGCAATCAATGGAACTTCTTGTCATTCGACGAGTAAGAGATTGGCCTCCAAAGTCACAAGTTTTTTCTTCAATGAGGTAAGCTTAGATTTTATTCTTGGGGCTAACTCTGCTATTGCAGTAGCATAATATGAATGTATAATCCAGAAAAGGTACTATTTAGCATGAGAATAAAATGCAAAGACTATAAAGGAGCTATGAAATTTAAGTAATACAGAAGTAAGAAAAAAATATCTGGTTTTGCAATTATTAACTTTTACATTTATTTCTAATGTACAACAAAAACTTTACGCTTTCTGATTATTATTATAAAATCCTATACTTTACAGTAAGGTAACCTAAAGTGCTAAGATTTAAGACCTAAAACTAAAGCCCATCAAGACCAAGAAACTATTCCTGCTGCTTGGACTTTTTCTTTTTCTTGGCTGGTGTGGGCTCGTCTACAGGCTCAGTTGCTGCCGCCTCCTCGGGGGCCTCCTCGTCCTTTTGCTTCTTCTTCTTCTTCTTTTTCTTCTCCGACTTAACTTCCTCCTCCTCCTCAGCGGCACCAGCCTCCTCCTTGATTTCCTTCTTAACAGGCGTCTGCTCCGCCTCCGAGTGCTTGCGTTTCTTCACGTTTACGGTGTTGTCAGCCTCGGGTTGGTATGTAAACACCTCGCTGGAAAATCAAATAAGTTAAATTAATAAAGAAATGGTAAGAAATAGCTCTGAAAATAAACACAATTTCGGTCAGACAGCCAAGGTTTATCGTCATTGTAATCGGAAGATGCGAAACCTTTTAGTTATCATCATTGGAAATCGGTTTGTATCGTTGCATAATTTTTTGATTGAACCCACCTCTTGGCTTGGTATTTCTCGAACTTGGCCTTTGCCTTGCCAGTGCCCGAGAGTTTCCGCAGGTTTCCCTCCTCCAGCAGTCGGAGGCGCGACTCCAGCTTCACCTTGTGCGCGGCTCCCAACTCAAAGGTGGCCTCCTCGCCGAAGGCATCCACTCGTGTGGCCAGCGACGCCTTGGCGGCCAGCGATCGTGACATCTTGCCCTTGTTCTTTTGGCTTGCCTGACCCACCAGCTGAGCGTGATAGATCAAACCATACTTGGGCGTATCCTTCTTTGTCTTCAGAGCTCGGAAGAGCGCCTTCTCGGCACCCAGGATTTGTACCGTGGACGAGGGATGCTTGGCCAGGTTAATCAGCGAGCCGGCATGGGCAATCAGCCTAGCGCCCACTGTGTCTCCCACGAGGACTGTCAAATTTGGAGCCATGGCCATCATTCTGGCCTTGAGGTAGTCGTACAAGTGTATGCGGTAATCGTTAATCGAGATGATTTCGTCGCAAAGGCACTGGATATTGAGAACATCCTCCTCGGAGATTTCCGTGCCCATCGATATCTCGGCCGCCTCCTTAACTTTCTCCTCCACGTCCTCAGGCAAGATGTCAGACAGATCGGCCGCCGACATGTTGTCTCTGGTGCCCACCAACTTAATCGTCTTCACAAAGGCAATGTTGTCGGTAATGATCTTGCCCAGCTCGGGAAAGTGCCAGCCGTACCACTCGCGGGCCCTCATCATGTAGTTGTTTAGCTCCTTATCCAAGTCGTCCAGCAAGCACTGCGCCTGCACGATCATAGTGTCGATCTTGTCCGGCGAGAACTTGAGCTTGTAGCGCGACAACGAGTGGGCGAGACCCAGGGCCATGGCAGTCATCTCCCGTTTGGGCAGGCCACCCAGCAGACTGTCCGCCTGCTGGCGGATGCAACGCATCAGTTCCTGGACACCCGTGTTGTAGACACACTGCACAGACAGCTTGTCCTTGATGGCGGTGCCCAGTTTGGCATCAGCAACCAACAGTGACGACTGCACGTCGTCCACCAGCAGCTTTTTCAGAGTTTTCTTCAACGGCTTCGCCACCTTGCCCTCAACCGCGGCTGTGGCGGCTGCCAGCGCCTCTGTGGTGTCGTTGAATTTCTCGAAGTGCTTCAATTTCAACAATTTATTGGCCTTCTCCGGAGTCTCGAACTCCAAGTACAAATTGTCGACCTGCTCGAGTTTCTTTTCGTCCAGCAACTTGAAGATTGCGTAGCCCGCCGGCGTTTCGTAGAGCACAAACATTGTATCACGCTGTGCTCATTTAGTTTTAATTTTAACTTAAGAACTCAGCAAAACTCCGCAACCAGCAGCAGACTTAACCTTCTTTTCCGTATGCCGCGTGTAAAAGAAAATTCCAAAATGAAGCGTGAGCACGTGTATTAGCGGCCGCCAGAGTTGCCACTCGATTCGCGTTTAACAGCACAATTCTACCGATGTCACCAGAGCTGTTAACAATTTCACCACGAAAAGTAAAGCGCGGGGAACGAAAAAAGAGGACAAATGTCTCGACTTCGCGGTACCCTAGATCAACTCACGGAACTGTACATCAACCGTAGAATCGTTTCTAGCACTGACACTGTTAAAATAATATCACATACGTATTTAGAGATTCAGCACTAAACAATATGATATTCAGTGATTGTTCTAACTTAATGTAATAAATTTAATAATTTGCTACAGTTTATTATTTGAGTTTATAATGTAGGATAATTCCCGATTCTAAGTTTCATATATTTGACTTGGCAAATATACCCGAGTTTGCAGACATAGGGTATTCAGACAGAGCACGTGTGCGTGCTGTTATTGGAGCCGCTGCGCGCTCAACAGCACTTGCTGGCCTAACAGCACTCAAGTCTAACATACGTTAAACTTAACAGTCCACCACGAAAACTGTCCAACTTCCCCACACTCTAAACAATTCAAAATTTTTGCATGGCACAGCTACAAACACACACACACACCCTCATACGAATCTGTATGTATGCGATCTCGCCATGTTACAAAAAGGATGAATCCGCTTTGGCAATGAATGAAAATGGAAATGACGAACTGCTTACCTGCGTCGCTGCCTGGCCTTGCGCTCGCGGCAGTGGCGGGCGAAGTGGCCACGGCCTCCACACTCGTAGCACTTGTCGTCGCCACGGCCGCCGCCGCCTCCTCCACCGCGGTCGCGTCCTCCGCCGCCGCCGCCCCCACCACCGCCTCCTCCTCCACCACCAGATCTAGCGTATTTGCCAGTGGACAGCTCCACACGAGCGCGGCGTCCGCACACTGTCCGACCGTCTAATCCGCGCACGGCGTCCGCGGCGTCCCGGGCGCTTTCGAATTCCACGAATGCAAAGCCCGGTGGATTGCGAGCGATCCAGACACTGCGCAGACTGCCGTACGCGCCAAACACGTACTCCAAGTCGTTCTTGCGGGCATTGTTGCCCAGGTCGCCAACGTACACCTTTCTATCGCTGGGGTGGCGCGACATTCTGTTTATTCCGCTTTTCTCGGCTCGGCTTGGGCTTGGGGGCTGCTGTTAATGTGGCAGCAGCGGCCTCTGCAGCGCAGAAAAAATCGATGAGCGTCGCTTATATTCACTTGGAACGCTTCCTCCGGAGCTCCTTCTATTCGACGCACGCTGGCGATCGATTTTTTTCACTCGGGGCGCGCAGAAACTGCAAATTCGTATTTATTTTCTATTTTTTTGCAGCACAAAACTCATTTTACCGGGTAGCAAACAGAGGGACCCTGCGAGGGCTGTGCAAATATACCATCGGCTTAACGAAATATACCACCAAGCAAAAGAGACGTACAAAATACTAAAAAAAAAACTGATAATGCGCTTGGTATTTTACCGATTATCTAGCTGTACAGGATAAAGGTTCAGGATATAGGAATATTGCATTAATATTCCATTTGAATTATAGTAAAATAATTATACACATAGCGGATATTTTTAGACAACAAAAATAGGAAGAAGTCCGAGTCGGACACGACAATATACCGCCATCGGCGCAGTCTGGCTGCTATTTGTTGGTCACAAAATATTTTTCAGTATATATCGATACCCGATGGTATATCGCATCAACCTGGTGGCGGTCACACAGGATTAAACGTGGCGGCGATTTTTATCATATAAGTTAGGTTATATCGTATGCATCAAAATCATACAATTATTTATAAGCTAGTTTTTTAAGGAAAAAACACTTAAATTTAGTGAATTTGCAGTGCGAAATCTTTAAAAAACCACAGACGAACACTTGGCACAAACGGTAAGAATGGAAAGCAATTGAAAATCACATTTTACATAACAATTACGGGGCTAACAAAATGCCTGCCTTTCCAAAACGACTGAATACCTGACGCAGCTGCCATTGCTCGATGTCGTAGTGGTGTGTGTGTAGAGTAAAAATTGTTCGGCTCGGTTCGATTGTGGCACAGTAGCTCTTTGTTTTTTTCGCCAAGCGCTTGTGAGTTTGATCCGTGCAATTTTCGCCTGGGGCAAGCGTTTTTCCGTGCCAATTTCGGCCCATTTTTCCCACCCATCAAAGTGGAAAATTTCATATTTTTATACATACATACAAGAAATGCTATGTATAACACCACACCAACGCACACACACACCAATGAAAATCGCTCGGTTCGGTCTGTCGGCGGCGGCCATTCGCGCACACACACACACACCCCCATGCCAACTCATGCACTCACACACACGAAGCAGATTGCGGTGCAAAATACAAAAATCATGCGAAATTTTTAAAATTGCGTAGTAGGAATCTTGGTTAATTTCGCTCCCCTTTACCCGGCACGTAAAAGTACAAGAGGTGCCTGTGCGAACTGTGTTGCCGCGAGCAGTGTGCTTTTCCGGTCTCAGCCCAACTCTAAAAGAAATAAGCTGATTTCGTGCCTATGAAAATGAACAGCTCCCAATGAAATGTGCTCCAGATTTCAGGAATATAAAGTCGGCAGCCAACGAACATATTTCTTGAGATTTCTTTGTTGTAGCATTTTTTTCATCAGGCACGTCTTCCATTTTGTTTTTTTTTCTTCGTTGCCGTCGCCGCCGCTGCCTGCTTCTGCCGTGGTGAATTTCCCACACACTCCGCCGATATTCATTCAGTTCGCTTCGCAGGCTGTGTAATACAAAAAAAAGAAAAGAGCCCATCTGGAGGAAAACTCCAACAGAAGTGTTTGTTTTTTTGACGGAATTAACATTTCCTTTGGCCTGCATTCCGAGGGCATTGCTTTTTGGTACGTTTCTTTCGCCATCCATTCGCTTTCACGTCGCACATGGCGTTGCCACATGTTTTCACTTGCTGCCAATGAAACATTGTCTGCGCGGCGCGACACGATGGTAGCTGTGAGTAAAGAACGGGCACTAATGGGCCCGTAGTGAAAATCCGCAATTTGCAAGGCATTTGGTGCTGGTGGCATTTACGAAGTCCTCTTCTCATCCGGCAATCCTGCGATAAATGGCGCGCAAATGTGGTGGAACCGGCGAGGCTCTCATTTCACCTTGGAATAAGTTCGTTGTTCTCATTGACAGGCGTCATGTGTTTGTGTGTGTGTTTGTGTCAAAAGAGCTGAGGCTGGGACAGTGCAACAACAAAGCCGCTCGTGACAAAGCGAAAAGAAAACAATACTTTCACGTAGCCGTGTAAAAGCGGGTGAAGAAGACGAGCTGCTGAGAAGAGGAGCAAGCGGAGCGAGCAAACTTGTGAACGTGTACAAAAAGCAGTTAGACGGCAAAAATCACATAGATACTGGTGTCCAATGTGTGTGTGTGTGTGTGTACCGGCCGGTTGCTTTTGCCGCCTACCTGTGCCTTTCATAATTATCTGTGCCTATTTCGCTGGCTCTCTTTCTTTCGCCCCTGTATGTGTGCTGTGTGCCGCCTCTGTTCCTCTTTTTGTCATCTGGTCATTCCCACCCTATTCGCACCTACATAAGTCAAGATCAGTTCTTCAGTTTTGATTAACAAGTTTCTATTTTATTCTATCTTTATATCTTTTCATGTGCCTACTATAAACAACAACATCGTCGATAATGTGTAGAAAGTTACGTGTGAACGTCGTGGCTTTTGTTTAATTGTTTTGAACGGAAAGAACTTTGGCAACGTTAAAACCAACCTATAAGATACATAAGAACACCAGCAACAACAACGGCAACAGTGTAAAATTCTTTAAGTGCGCATCCCCTTAAGCAAAAACAAAAAAAAAAAAATCAACAAACACAACACACAAGTTAATTTCTTTTGCACACCGGGTTAAGAAAAAAGCGGCAAGATTACGTCAATTATTGAAAACCTACCCGGCGCCATAGCTCACAACCACAACCAGAACAACATCATGGAGGAAGACGAGAGGGGCAAACTGTTTGTGGGCGGTCTATCCTGGGAGACGACACAGGAGAATTTGTCGCGCTACTTCTGCCGCTTCGGCGACATCATCGACTGCGTGGTGATGAAGAACAACGAGAGCGGCAGGTCGCGCGGCTTCGGCTTTGTTACTTTCGCCGATCCCACCAATGTCAACCATGTGCTGCAGAACGGACCGCACACGCTGGACGGCCGCACCATCGACCCGAAGCCTTGTAATCCTCGCACGCTGCAGAAGCCGAAGAAGGGCGGTGGCTACAAGGTCTTCCTGGGTGGTTTGCCCTCGAATGTCACCGAGACGGATCTGCGCACCTTCTTCGGGCGCTACGGCAAGGTCACCGAGGTGGTGATCATGTACGACCAGGAGAAGAAGAAGTCTCGCGGCTTCGGCTTCCTCTCCTTTGAGGAGGAATCGTCCGTGGAGCACGTGACTAACGAGCGCTACATTAATTTAAATGGCAAGCAGGTGCGTAACCGCAGATCCGGTGCTCCGGTTATTTTTCCATTACCTTTTTTACTCTTCAGTTTTTGATTTTTCGATTTATTTTATTTTGAGAATTTGAATAAATCATAGTTTTTCATTTCCTTAAGATAGAATCTTAACTTAATAAGCTATCAATTATTAAGTTTGCCACTCGAAATAGCAGCTAACAATGTTTGTTTTCTTTCGCTTCTGACAGGTTGAGATCAAGAAGGCCGAGCCTCGTGACGGATCTGGCGGGCAGAACTCCAACAACAGCACTGTGGGCGGCGCCTATGGCAAGTTGGGCAACGAATGCAGCCACTGGGGACCGCACCATGCTCCCATCAACATGATGCAGGGCCAAAACGGTCAGATGGGCGGACCTCCGCTAAACATGCCCATTGGGGCGCCGAACATGATGCCCGGCTACCAGGGCTGGGGCACGTCACCGCAGCAACAGCAGTACGGCTACGGAAATAGCGGACCCGGCTCATACCAGGGCTGGGGAGCACCACCCGGTCCCCAGGGACCTCCGCCACAGTGGTCGAACTATGCTGGACCGCAACAGACGCAGGGCTATGGTGGCTACGACATGTACAACTCGACGTCGACCGGTGCACCCTCTGGACCATCGGGCGGCGGTAGCTGGAACTCGTGGAACATGCCTCCCAACTCGGCCGGACCCACTGGGGCACCAGGAGCAGGAGCAGGCACTGCTACGGATATGTACTCGCGGGCCCAGACCTGGGCAGCGGGTGGTCCGTCAACCACCGGACCTGTTGGCGGCATGCCGCGCACCGGACCCGGAAATTCGGCCTCGAAGTCTGGCTCCGAGTACGACTATGGCGGCTATGGTTCTGGTTACGACTACGACTATAGCAACTACGTAAAGCAGGAGGGCGCCTCCAACTACGGAGCTGGGCCGCGGTCAGCGTATGGCAACGATAGTTCCACGCAGCCGCCGTATGCCACTTCGCAGGCTGTCTAAAAAGGCGGATAGACATAAGGAGAAGGAGGAGGATGCAGTGGAGAAGGCGAAGGAGTAGGAGTTGGAGCCGGAGTAGCAGAGCAGAATGATGTCGTCGTCGGCGAATGATGAAGACAGAAAAGATGGTGGTAATTGTAAGCTAAAGCGTCGTCTGTTCGTTTTTATTTCAGATCAGATCAGTTGTTGAAGTTAATATTTAAAAACTCTTGTACAACTATTATTTAAAGCGAAACCAATTTAACAACACGAATGAATACCTAGCGACAAGTCAGAATCATAGATATATATATATACATGTATGTTCTATATAGCAATGAGTATGTAATAATAGGCAAAAACATCAGCACACAACACCAACAACCATTATTCAGACAAGAGAACCCAATTTCTTTCATGCGCCCCTCATATGAACACCATTAAAACACCTACCTAAACACACCTGTCAGCCAAGCAACTAACCAGAAATACTACACCCAACTAGAACTAAAACTAAAACTAAAACCCGTAGGCTCATACGATACACAAGGCATTAACAACAAAATAGAAAGTGAAGATTTAAACGTAATGATTTACAAGTATAAAGTTTAGCTAATTAGACCCAAGAACATGATAATAGAGTGGAAGTGCGAGGAGAGCCAACACAACAAGAATCACACAACCAAGAAGATTAGAACTTATATAATTTTATTAAAAACAAAAAGTACACAAGTAAAGAAAGATCGATTCCCCTTAATTACTAAAATTAGTAAATACACAAATTCGAAATTGTACATTTTAAAGCAAAAAGCCGTGGCCGATGTTCCTCCGACCCTCGACCTCCTCCATAACGATCCCGCCTTCGTATCAGCGAGTCTGTTGGCGACAAGGTTTAGAGAGTGTTTGGAATTGCTCGGCGATAACACTGGTGGTTCCGCGGCGGACCCAATGCTTGCCTTAGCCTTTGACTCACTGACCGAAGACAATGGCCTGCCTTTTTGTGCGAATCTAGTTGCGGCGATGGGTGCGTTATAAACAAATACTGCGGGGGTGGGATTAGGATTTGGAGGAGTGGGAAGGTGGTGGTTAGAGTAGGGCGGAGGGACTGTGGGCATAGGAAAGATTATACGTTACAAAATTAAAAATTTACCATTTAAAGTAAACAAAACGAAAAAAACTAGCTAAAAGTTAAACTACATATATAAAGAAACCTAATTGATAAGCGTATGTCGTCGTTTACATCTAAGCGAAAGTTGAACTTGAAACTAGAATTATATAGTGCGTTGGATTTATTATTTAAAGTTAAAGAGAGCGAGCAGTGAGGATGATAACAAGAAGCCAAGCAGCATACTGATGATGATGATGATAATGATTGATTATAATGGATACGGAAACCAGCAAAAACCACAAAAAATACGAAACACACACACTCTTAACAAGTAAACATAAAACTATATACATACTTATATACAATATATATATATATATATTTAACGAGTATATACAACAAAGGAAACAAAAACGACAAAAAGAGTAAAAAAAGAGCAAAAAGAAACGTACATTTAAAGCTACAGTTAAAGTAAAACATAAAGAGTAAAATTAAAAGGTAAATAAAAAGTAATGAAGGGAAGCATGACGAGAGAATAGGACAGAAAGTTATACAAGATACGATGCTTAGAGTTGCGTTGCACATTTTTCTTTTAAACATTCATCGTTTGCCAAGCAGACGGAAGCAGCAACAGCAGGAACAACAAATATATCGCGACAGCCAACATCAGTCAACAACAACAACAACTAGAACAACATCAACACACGCACACCCAACACCCACACCTAACCCACATTCGATAGACAACAACTACAATCAGAAAGAACCACAGATCAGAAGCGCGAGTAACAGACAGACAGACAAACAGACAGAAAGAAGAAAGGGAAGAGAATTGCTAAAAAATAATGAGAGCAAGCAGCAGAAAAACTTTAATTGATTATAAATATAACATATATTATATATCTTTAATTACTTATACAATATTTACTCTTAACTACTCTGCGCGCTCACCAAAAACAAAAACAAAAAACTGAGCGTGCACTGTGTGTAAAACATGATGAAAGTAAACTATTTTAATGATGATTATATATGATTGCGATTTTACAATTTATTATTACAAAAAGATGAAAAAAAAAAAAAAAAAAAACAAAATGAGAAACATACATATTATATGCTAATACATTTACCATACACACATATATATTATAAAAACAAATATGAAGTAATTTTTTCTATTAAAATACCATACACTAATTTTTAATTTGTTTATTTTTACAACAAATCAATTTACAATACATACATATAATTACAATATACAATAACAATACTTTACTTTACTTTATTTTTCGGTGATTTATTGCTTAGTGTTCTTCGTATAATTTTTACTCTACAACAAACAAAACAAATAATCCTAAAGATACAAATTCCTAATTTAATTTCGTTTAAATTACACTACAAATATGCTTACATTTTATATAACTAATTATTATACAATTTTTTAGAAAAAAACAAAAACAAACAAACGCAAAACAAAGCAAGTAAAAATGAGTAAAGTAAAACGTGTGTGAAAAGCAACGTTTCGATTTTTGAAAAAAAAAAAAAAAAACCAAATGATTCTTTTTCGTGTATCTGTATCTGTACCACCACCACAGTCTGTATCTGTATCTGTGTGCAAGCCTGTGTGATTGTATGCGTCCGTTTTTAGCAAGTGTTGTCCTCGAAAATATCAAGATCATCCGGGCGGCGGGCGGCGTGAGGAAAGAGAGAGGACTTGGAGAAGTAAGGGAAGAACCGATGGATCAACGGATCATAAGCTTCAGAGCTAAGGAACCCATATATCTGTGTTTCTGCCGCATCACCTCTTTTTACAGAGAAGCACCATGCATCAAGCAGAGATCATCGTAACACCATTTATGATCTGCTGAGCGGTAGAAGCATAAAATAACTAAGAACCATGGCGGCAATTTTCAATAAATTGCAAGCAAGCAAATCAACCTGATGTAATTTAATAATATACAATTTATTATTTACTCATTATAATGCGGCTAACGCTCACATACATGTTTTTTGGTTCTGTTTCATTCTAAAACACAAGTTGGCACATAATTACCACGTACTCAGCTGAAGGTTAAAGTAAAATTAAAGTAAAGTAATTAGAGACTCTTAATTTTTTAGAAGACATAACACTCTGACTGTTAATTGTAAAACAAGTTCATTTCGAAATCGTTTACCAAATTTAAATACAGAATAAACCCTTTTTTTATTAACGTAAACGTAAAAAACCTATTAAAAATTAAAAAAAAAAAAACATACAATATATGTGCATCGTAAACGTAATAAACAACAAGAATATATATATGAATTACACCTACTACATACAACTATTATATACTATATACATATAATTATAAAATATAACGATTTAACGGTAAAATAAATTTAAATATTGTATTAAACAAAGTGTTGCACTTTCAACAAGCTTGAACAGAGAAGTTGATGAAAATAAGAACATTTAAAATTTAAGTGTACACACACACACATACCACAAACACACCCTGAGAACTGTTGTAAGAAAAAGTCCAAAAAAGTGCAGCGGGGATCGGGGAGCACCTAAGGAGGAGTGATTGACTAAAAAATCAGATTGTTTCGTTTGTTTTTTTGGTTACCAATTGATGTCATTTTGTGTATATGGCTTTTGTTTCTTCATTTATCAGTTTTATCGACCAACTGATCGACAGTTATCGGAAAGCTGCGCATTGTGTATTGGTACCGACTTGATTTACATTCTCGACAGCTCATCTATAGTTTGCCTTTGCCTTTTTATTGTTTACTTGATTTTGATCAGTTTGGAGATCCGCATACGAAATATAGAAAACAATAATGTAAGGGTTACACGAATTATTTTATATAACTGATAAGCTAACCATACGAACGATCGATGCGCCAAATGCAAGCCCAAAAACCAATGAAGAGAGTGCGTTGTTGTATACATATTGTATAGCTCTACATATAGCTCTAGGAGACACGAGAGAAAAGAAGATAAACAATGATTATTATATATATCAAAGCTTTTCCGGTCTATATAGTTCTTACAATTAAGTTCTCTCGAATTTGTTTACGGAAAAATCGAATTGGAAATGTCGACTGGTTACCCATATATGTAGTTAAGCTAAGAACAACTGACACACACTCGGATCCTTTTCTAACTATATGCTAGAAGACTAGAATTTTAAATGCGTTTTTTTTTCGCCCCCAACCCCATTTCTAGCCCCTCCTCAACACGAGAGTTGTTGTTTTTATGCAAAGGAAAAGAGTACTCTTAGCCATTAAAGACTAGAATGATTTGAAATAAGATGAGATTTAACAGAGATATCTAAGCTAAATTCCTAAGACAAAACGATTCCACCTAAGACACCTTTTTGTAATGACTAAATTTTTATAGGGCCAAGGCGGCGGCGGAGTGTTGGAACAACATAATAAATAAATGATAATGAGAAACAAATAAGATTAAAGATCAAGTGGCATGTACTTCTACTTAATTATGTTTTTTCCTTTTCATTGATTTATTTTTCTCTGTTTGCAAAAACATTAGCGATAGGTTCCCATTGTGTTTGTGTAGGAAACGACAAATCAAGTTGAATTAATGATTGTTAATGCCTGCAAGTTAAACGACAAATTATTATATATTATTAATATTGAACAACCACAGCAACATCCATTTTTGAAGCCCGACTTTCGTATGCTCGTTATTAAGTAAACCAAATTCGAATCGAGGTCTGTATTGATGTATATGGTAATTTTAAAAAGTGTAACAAAGGCAGAGGATATAGTGAACCAAAACTTATTTGTATGTAGTTAATAATAAAACACTATCATTAAATACAAAATAGACAAAAATACGGAAAAAAACACAGAAAAAAAGAGGAAAAATATGCAAAAATAACCAACAAAAAACAAAATTGAGACTGTAAATGAAAGGCAACAACATAATGATGGAGCTGTTTAGGACGAGGCGAAGAAGTTGGCTTAAACACACGATACTATACAACTCTCGCAACTCGAATAGAACACTGATGAATAAATAGGCTACCAGCATAAGTTCGTATAAGGATTTCGTTTAAACCGAAAAGTGTAATCAACTTGAATTTCATTTCAGTTCCTCGTGACTAGCTCATTCTCTGTACATTATGGCAGCAAGTACTATGTAGTATTGGTTTCGAACCCTTAATTTTATTTTGAGATGAGTGTAAGCTGAACATTAAGTATTCAATATCAACAACCAAACAAAAGCCGCGTAAGAATAACGAAACCGAATCTAAAAGATAAAGATTTAAGCATTTTGTAAGCCAAACAAACAAACACACACACACAAAACTTTCGATGAATTTGAATTTTTTACCGAAATGACGAAACTAAGGAAACTGGAATCTTAAATACTGATACTGAAAGCGATGTTAGATAACTAACGAGAAACACATAGAAACCTCCTACACCTGCATATACATACATACATATAGGACTTACTTGTAAACCAGATTGTAACGATTTTAGGCATATAAGTGTTGCGACTTGGAGACTCGAATAGAAGGCCGAGTATTGTCCCCTTTCAGGCATTCAATATTTTTGTTTAATTTTTGAAATAATTTCATAGACTTTTCTACGCGTACTTTTAGATCGAAAGAGTTAGTGAGCGAGGTAAATAGGGGTTTAACATTAGCAGCTGAGTTCAGGGTTGAGGGTTGGGAGGATACCGTGGTACAGTGCTTAAGAATTAACATTGAGGACAGGATTTACTTAACTTAACTTAACTGAACTAAAGAAACATAGATACAAGGACATACATGCAAGAGAAAAAGAAGAAAAACAAAACAAGGATCAATGAGAAACTTGAATGGAGAATACATACATGGAGCGTTGCAAGATTTTAGTTTACGGTAAACTTAAAGAAATTTTTTACAATGTATTTATACATACCTAAATTTAAATTTTAAATTAATTCTTTAATGTAATACGAACACAGTGCCTAAGTAATATCAAAACAAAAAAAATCGAAAATAAAATGAAAATAAGGATTTACATAAAACAAACAAAACGAGATTAAGAAGCGCAAGTAAGTACATTGTTACTAAAAATGGTAAAACAAAGAGAATAATAATCGAACAACTTTTAAGACAGCAGAGCAACATTCGAGCGACAGAAATTCAAACAGGATAATAATAAGCCAATAAACAAAAACATTTGCATACCAATTTATAAGAAACTCATGCAAAGAAAACAAAAACACACTCTAATAAGAACAAGAGCAGGAAACGGAAGCTGAAAACTGAAAAGAAATGAGTCCCCAAAAAATTCGTATTAAATTGTAAAAATGTTATTCAACCCAATATGGATCGCATAAAATGAATACACTACTGGATTGCCGTACAACCTACATTTATCCTCCAATTCCAATTCCTTCCTCGACAACCCCACAGGGCTACCAAATTATTTGATATTACTTATCTGAACATGCCACGTACTTGAAATGACATCAAATTGCAACACATTAAACATGTTTGTTTGCTCATTGGATTGGTTTATTATTTAGAATGAATGGTCAAAGAACCCCCCCAAAACAATTATTCTCTAAATTACATTTTTCTTATGTTCAATTCGTGTTAAAAAAAAAAAAATAAATACATACATGAAAATCCAAAAATAAGGAACAAAAAGAAATTACACATTTTGAAATTATGTTTAACAAACGAAATATTAATGTAGTGTGTAAAAAAAAAAAAACAGAAAGACAAACAAAACATAAAAGTAAAACAAGTTTTAAGCAAAACAAAAAAAACTTTGAATATATACATAAATTGCAAGTAAATAGAATAAATGTCACTCACTCTTTTTATTTAAGTTTTGTATTTGATCGATGATTGCTGGGATTGATAGTACATGCTAGAGCTCGGATGACCCAAAGACAGTCAGAACTCCAGCTAAAAATTTTGGGTGTGAAAAAAATGGTATAGCCCCTACCTTATCTTATTATTGATAAGCTATTTTCCCTCCGCGTCAGGGAAACCTTTCACCAATTTTTCCCCCTTTTGATCTTAGTATGTATTATTAAAAAAATAGTAATAGGGTTGACCTTAAGGATGCATTCCAAGAAATTCCGTTACGTATAGAAATTTGAACCCTTTTATGGGTGATATTTTTGGGAAGATCGTCTGATTGGCAAGTAATGGAGTTTTTTTCTGAATTTCCCACGACACTTAGAAGGAAATTCCTGAGCAGTAGAGCAGAGACAGATTCACTACATTGTAAACACCAATCGCCCTGTTTACAAGACCAAAAGTCAGAGTGAACACACAAAACTGACCAGGAACAAAGTGGGTGAGGATGTATTAAAATATATTAAGTTATTGTGTAGTTTTTGCGAATGCCATTTGAACTAACTATGAGTCCTAGATTAATTTTTCGTGCAGCTTTTGACATTATTGTCAAACTTTTTTAAACTTTTTAATTCGCAAAATGCTGGAGCTCGTAATACTTTTCCTTTGCAGTTCGGTAAGCTTTTTCGTTGCGCAGCTGGAGAGGCCAACCACATTTTGGGATTACAAAAAAGCTGCCTCCCCAATCGTCATGGGCTTAATATCCGCTGAAATTATTTACCAAAACGTTTGTATCTCTGATTTATATTACTCTAATAAATTATTAACTTTATAGAAATAGCAAAAGAAAAGGAAGACGGGTATAAAAATTACTTCGAATATAGAGATGACTTTATTTCGGCTGAGGGCGTTTAAATTAAAAATGTATTAAAATATTTGAAAGCAACGAATAAATACATATGATGATGTGATGACGCATGGGTACAAATTGCAAGGATTAAACAAACGCCTACAGCTACAGATTAGAATGAGTCCTATGAAATTGGAAACTATGCGCTCCGATCGATGATGACTACTTGGCTACACGTCGTCTTGTGGTTGGTGTGGTGGGTACTCCTCCGCCGCTGGGTGGTTTTGGGATCTATAAAGAGGATTTCAAATATAGAATCGAGCTTGGAAAGATCAAAGCCAAGCTTTTGCTCACAGAACGTATCGGTCTCGGTGTAAGGGAATTGGCAGGTGGCGGCTCGCGAGGCTGTGGTCCATCCGGATGTCCCACGACTGTAACGGCCACGGGTCTCTGCTCGGACCCAGCTCGTTCCATGCTCTCGCTGCGTGAATTAGAGCCGGAGCGCTTGAACATCCCGGAAAGCCGGCCACGCAGATCCTTTTTGCTCGACCTCATATCGCTGGCAACGCTGATGTCTGAATCAGATCCTTGAATCTAGAACAGGTATAGAATTTGGTTTTAAAAACTGCACGCCAGAACTACTTTTTAGCCTTACTGATATTTCACTCTCGGAATTGCGACTGCTCTTGGTCAGGCTGCGCAGCTTGCCCATGATGCCCTTTTTCTTTTTGCGAGGTCCCCGGGGTAAATCGCTCTGGGTGGATCCTCCCGATAGACGCGAATCGAGTCGTGAATCCAAGCTGGAGTCTCGGACCAGGCCGCCTAGCTCCGAGTCAATAGATTGCATTGAGGACACACTGCCATCGTCCTGGCGCCAAATGTTCTGTAAGATAGGTTTTTAAAGGAGTTATTATTTAATCAATCCGACTTAGAATATATATATATATATCTCACCTGATCCCTCTGTATGGAGTGATCCAGTGAGAGGCTCTTTCGAATCAGGCTGCCATTATTGGACGAATTCCGGGAGACGCGATTCCCGCCGCGCTGTGAGCCCGCTGCACTGGCCACCGAGCTAGTGCTGCCGTGGTGATCGTTTTCCTGCGAGGCAGCTCGTCGCAAATTGCCGCGTCGAATCCGGCTCCGCTCCTGTTCGTCTTCGTTTAGCCTCTGGAACTTTCGCAACTCCTCGGACGCCTCAGCCAATCGCGCCAGGACATTGGTGATTTGTGAGCTGCTAAGCGTTGGCGAGGGCGATCGACTGCGCCGCACATCCGGCTGTTCTGGACGCAAGTTCTTATCGTATCCGGTGCCGCCTCGCGAGGATCCTCCGCTGCCCACCATTTTAAGGTCAGGAGCGATCTTCACTAGCTCGTCAACAGTTTGCAAAAGAGCCCCCACCTTTCGGTCGCCGCCATCCGCCTCCATGCGTCTCTTGATCAGTTCCTTTTCGTAGCGTTCACGCTGAAATGGGAAACGGATCAGTGAAAGTTATATCTCAATAATCACTCTGATCTTCTCACCTCGCGCCTTAACTTCTCGTTGGAGGTACGCAGTTTGGCATGGACATCGCGCAGCTCCAGCAGATCGCACTGAAGCTCGGCAATCTTTTTGCGTCCCTCCTCCATTTCCTCCTCGGTGGCGCGCTTGATTTGGTCCAACTTTCGCTTGGACTCCAGCCGCTCCTTGTCCCGCTCGCGTTCCACTTCAAAGAGGGTCTGGCGCAAATCTCGGGCCAGAGTGGAGGTCTCCTGCAGCAGACGCTGCTGATCCTCCCGCTCCTTCTGCCAGGACAACTCCAGCTTAGTCTTCATGCCCGGCAACTTGGTGCTGCCCGATCCGATGACCCGTTCCTCTTCGAACTCGTTCAGCTTCGATTGCATCTCGGAGATTTTGATCTCGTTGGCACTGCGCTCGGAGACAAGTTCGGTCTTGACCTTGCTGGACTCTAGCCGGGACTCGACCAGCTGATCCTCCAGATGACCAATCTGCAAATCGGGCGCAATTTCATTTTAAATATTCTTCGGTATAGTCTTCAACTTTGTGGACTCACCTGCTGTTCCAAGTAGGCGATCTTGCTCTTGTCATCGTCATCGCTGCTGTGCATGGAACCACGACTTTGTCTGCCCGTGTTGTTGGCCTTCAGATCCCCGATCTTCTTCTGCGCCACTTCCAGCATCTGCTTGAAGGCGTCTCGATCTTTCTTGAAGCGTTCACATTGGCGCTATTGTACAATATAATTTTTAGAATTAGTTTTCTTGAGTAGTTTATTGATCCTGCATTACCTGCATTGAGTTCAGTTCTCCGCTGAGGTTCTTCACCTGCTGCTCGTACCGCAGTCGAGTGGTAGCCACCTCAGACTTCATTTGAAGCTCAGTGTTTTGTAATCTAAGTTGGGTAGATTAATTTGTAATATAATAGAAGGAAAAAGCAGTAATGCAAAGTAATGTTAATATTACAAAATTATATCTAAAGCTCGCTCCAAGGGCTCTAAATTTAAACACAATAACTTCTGTTACTTTGAAATATCTTATGAATACTTGGATATTTCCACTTACTGGTCCTTCAGATCCCTGATCTCAGCATCTCGTCTCGCTCCATGGCCATTCAACGATAGCTGGGCCTGCTCGATCCGGTTGTAATCGCTCAATTTGCCATTGAGATCGTCGTTATCCTTACGGAGCTGGAATACCAGGTCGATGTTCATCTCGTTCTCTCGGCGCAGCCGCTCATACTCGTGCTCCTTCTCCGACAGCTTGTTCTTGAGAACCGTGCGCTCGTACTCGCCGCCATTGCCATTGGAGGTCTTGAGGGCTTTGGCCTGCAGGTCGGCGATCTTCTTTTGAGCTTCATTCAACTTGCGAGCCATGTCGGTGCGCTCGATTCGGATGGTGTCCATCTCGGAGATCTTCTGCCTGTTGGCGTTCAGCTCGGCCTGAAGGCTCTGCTTCTCGGTGGTGAGTTGGGCCCGCATCAGGATAGTTTCCTCGGAGAGTTTCTCCCACAGGTTGTTGAGGTCCTCGTAGCGCTTTTGCTCCGAGCTTAGCGAGGACTGGACCTCCTCCACTTGCTTCTTGAGATCCTGCACTTGCTTGCTATCTGACTTGCTGGCCTTGGCCTTGAGATCCTTGATCTCCTTTTCCAAGCTCGATTTGTTCTTCTCGGCTGTCTTCTTGGCACTGAGTAGATCCGCGTCCAGTTGGGTGATCTTGGCCTCCAGCTTCTCCTTTTCCTTGCCTTGCTTTTCCAAGTCCTTCTCCAGGCCCGATAGCCTCTCCTTCTCCCGCTTGCTCTGCGTCTCCAAACTGGACTTGTTCACCTCAGTCTGCTTCAGTTGAACGTCCTGCTTTTTGAGCTTCTCCTCCAAATCCTTGAGCTTCGAGTTAAGTTTCTTGGCATCCTCATCGCTGCGCTTGAGCTTCTGTTCCAGCTCGTTGACCTTGCTGCTGGTGCCATTGAGAAGCTTCAATCGCTGGACGTCGCCCTCGGCCAGGGTCAGCTTCTGTTTATATTTCTGCACCTCTTCCTCAAGACTCCCCTTGGCTGTTTGTAGGGCCTTGAGCTGATCAGTTCCACTGGAGCTGAGCATTACCCGCATCTCGCTGATCTCGTCCTCCAACTCCTCCACCCATTTCTTAAGATGGCTCTTGGGCGTCAGATCGTTGACCCTTTTGGCAGTGCGAGCTGGCAGCTTGGCATCCGCTTCCAACTGCATCCGCTTCAGCCGAGCAGTCAGCTCATCCCTTTCCCGCTGGGCCACTGCCAGAGATTCCTTCATCTTTGCATCCACCTCGCCGTTCTTTTCGCTGGCCTTGCGCAGAGCCAGGAGCCGCTTATTCTCCTTGGCCAACTTGTCGTTTTCGGTTTCCAGTGTGCTCAATCTGCTGAGTTGGTCCTTGAGAGACTCAGCCGCCTGCTCCTTCTCCTGCAGCGTCTTTCGCAGCAGGCTCAGCTCCTCGTTGAGGGTCTTCAGTTTCTTTTCGGCCGCACTCGGAGACGTTCCGAAGCTGAGAAGAGAGCTCTTGCTGCCACTGGAACTGGAATTGTCCTGCCGCAGCTTGGTTTGAAGCTCACGCACATACTTCTTGGACTCGGCATTCTCCTTCTCCAGATCCTCCACCTTGAGGCGCAGTATGGAGGCCTCCTGCTCGTTCAGCTCCAGCAGAATTCTCAGCTCGGCAGGGTCATCCTCGTCGGAGATTCCCTCGTCGCGATCGGCCTGGACCTCGGGAGCGAGGCGATGAGGATGCGGGGTGGGGCTGAGCTTACGACCTAGGAAAACGATACAACAAATAATTTGCAGTTATCACAGGTGCCACAGAAATCATTAAAATTCTGCCCAAATGATGCAGTTTTAGATTTATTTATTATAAATCCGAAGTTTAGGTAGCACTTCTGGTTAGTTTAGTTAATTACCAACTAAATGAGGATATTTTGGATACTACGGGTTGTTTCAATTAGTCACCATTGTTAATCCAAATGAGCAGCCTCAAAAAAATGGCAAATTACTGATTCATTTCTTTCATTAATAAGCGCATGGAAAATAACGTTAGTTGGTTAAGAGAATACATTGTCCTCAGTTAATGAAGAGAAGAACAGTGAGTAACTCTAGTTCATAGGAAGTTCCTGTGACCTCAGCTTAAATGAATGATGATTAAAATCCACGGTTTCCACTTGTATTTATTTAATTCTTTACTTAACTAACTCGGATGTTGTTTAATCCTTTTTAAAATTATTATTAAACCGTGGACTTATCATTTATATGAAATACGTTGTCTACGAACTAGGGTTAAGAGTACTTATTAAGTGCCGTTTTATTCGTACTTCTTGAGCGCGTTGCCATTTTTTTCAACTGCATCATCAACGACTCATTTTCATCCTCGAAACGAGTCACCTTTTTCCTCAAGTGTTCAGCCTGAAACACACAAAAACTTGATATATTACAACTGAGATTAAGGACGCGCAAAAGGCAATAGTAAAGTTTAAAGATCGTGTTCGAGGATAAAAATAGTATTGCTACGTTTCGAACAAATACTGGTTCTACGAGTGATTGCTACACAGAAAGAATGCACAGATCCTCGACGATTGAGGTTCTTGGTACCTGCTCCACTCAGAAGGACATGCGAAATGGCGCTGGGAAAGAGTAGGGAGCGATTGGATTGACCAACTCTCGAGTGCGACGATGATGATGATGATGGGAAAAGCCCCATAAATGGCGACGGCGTAATCTCTCGTTCTAGATCAGTTTGGGTGACACCCTCTTTTGTGGCCACCCAGTTCTCCATACTGGTGGACACATCACTCTGTACCAAGGCCTCGGTCTGAGTGCCTCGAGGGAAAGCCACCAATTCAGATTGCATTTCGTGAAAGGTCTGAGTGCCACAACTGAATCTAACCCGCTTTCGCTCTCGATCCCGATCCCTGAGTCGCTGAAGCTTCGTGTAAAATGCGTTATATTAAATAATAAATCGCGTTGGTATTCTGCGTAAGGCATCCTTTACCTCCTCTTCGGCGAATTTTAATTGGTCCTTTAGGTCCGTCTCCCGCTCAATGGAGTCCTGTAGCTCGCGCTGCAAGTGCTGCGGATCTTCCTGTGAGCCTCCACGCGTGAGGGACTCTCTGGTGATCTTGGCATCCGCCGATGTCGACTTGCCCAGAACACCTAGCATGGGCGCCTTCTTCTTCCCAGGGTTTCGCAACTCTTCGGCCTCGGTCTGGGTAAAAAATAATTATAAGAGAATATTATAAGGATGAAAAACTGAAACATACCTGCAGCTTCCTGGTGAGCTCACTAGAGAATCGCAGCTCCTCCTCCAATTTTTTGACCTTCGCACTCAGTTCGGCGTTGAAGGAGCTCTGGCGCTCCTGCTCCAGCGTCTCAATCTTGCGGTCGCTCTTCTTTAGCTTGAAGCTGAGGATGCGACAGTTCTTGGTGGCCTTCTCAAGTTCCTTCTGCAGGCTGGTCTTTGCCTTCACCTCGTCATCGCGGAACGTGTCCTGCACCTCGTCCATCTCGGCTTGCAGATTGAGTATCTCCCGCTTGGCAGACTGGTTCTCCTCCATCAGCTCCTCGCAAATCTGCTCGGCGGCCTGCAGCTTCCGCCTGAGCTCGGACTCGCTGCCCTTGCTCTCCAGCTCCTTCATCCGAAGGTTCAGCTTGCGCTTGTCATCGCTGACTCGGTCCAGCTGCTCCTTCATTTCGTTTAGCTTCTGCTGGAGATTTAGGGCCTCAGATGCAGCTGTCCGATTGGTGCTGGTATCCATGGAGGCCAGACGCCGCAGCAGGATATCGCTTTTGTCGCGCTCCGCTCTCTCTGCCCGTACCTTCATCGTCTCCAACTCCGTTCGCAGCAATTTCATTTGCTCCTGCATGGCCTGGGCATCCTGGGACTTGGCCGGCGTGCTGGGAGTGGTTGTGTGGTTGGAGGAGGTGTGGGATGATGATGCAGCGGGTACGGTTTGTCTTTTAATTTCCTTGCTGGCCACGGCAACATCCGCTTCCTTGCGACGCACCGAACTGGAACTTGAAGATGCAGCTACCTTCACTTCACTAGAGACGGATGTTGTGGTCTTCAGGTTGCTGGTTCCACTGCTGCTGGACGCCGTTGTTGTCGTGGCCGCAGCCACCGCCACTTTTTTTGGTGGCAGCGCGGCGCGTTTCAGCTCAGCTTGTGGAGTCTGATTCAACGAAGTTCCCGACTTACTGCGCTCAGGTCGATCAGGAACTGCTGGCGCAGTGGATGCAGTGGACTCGGTTTCCCTGAAAAGAGATATGTCGTTGTTGTGTTATTGACTTTACTAAAATAATGAAATAGTTAATCCAATATTACTTCTTTTAATATATTTTTTTAATATATCCTTTATTTTTAACAATTTCTATTAAAAATACAGTATATAATTTATCTTTTACTCACTCATCTCTCCGCGGAACGGATCGCTCGCGACTGTTTTCTCGGGAGTTCAGACTGCGTTGCTTCTTGAGGAGATTCATTTTTCGGACACGCTCGGCTAGACTGTCTGTCGACAGGATGACTAACTCATCTGGAATACTTGAAGTTTTACTGGGCGAGGATGTGACACGGGTTGACGGTGTAAGAGCGTGTTCCACCTGTGAAGGATCAATGAAATAGTTTGAAATTCAACGGTTGTAAGGTTTCTTTTTATTAAATTTAACGTATTAAGTAGGAGTATAAATTATTAAAAATATTCGTTTGAGTAACCGTTAACTTTTTAGCTAGTAACGTTGACCTATTTACCCACCTCCTTAATGTCCAAGGCAGTTGTGTGACGCCGCGGCGGCACCGGCAGCTTGACAGTGACGGCCACATTGTTATCCTCGGCAACGGTTGCTCGGCTAGGGACCGCTGGCTGCGGACGGCGCCCGGCATCGTCCGGCTCGTCAATGTCCGGCGTAGAGGCCCAGGACTGCGGACGCTTCCTCAGCTCTACATTGAAGTGGACAACTGGGTTCAGTAAGGGCATCAGGTGCCAGGACATGCAGGTGCATTGCAAGTTGCAGGTTGCAATTAGCGTTGAAGTACAGTACACACACATACACGGACGTCGTGGTGCGACAGTGAAACAAACGAGCGAGAGCCAGAGGCACAGTACAGATCACGCGTTACATTGGCAGCAGTTAACATTATAACGGTTCATTTAATGCAGAGATTAGTGTGAAGATAGAGAGAGAGACAGACAGAGATGGCACAGTAGTTTTGGGTTGGTTTTGTGCAAGCGCAGAGTGAGAGTGAGAGAGATATGTAGACAAACACATTGATTAATAATTGTATTATTATAATTTTTTTTTTTTTTTTCAACTTACATAAAACAATAATCTTTGCCTAACGATTTCTCAATGTTTAAAAAGCGTTTCATATCCCAATTAAATTTTTTTTATGATCATATATGTTTAGTTCTTATAATTTAGAATCTAAAAAAAATATTCTGTACAAAAATAACCATTGAAGTTAAATCAATACCTTTAAAAAAATATATTTATATCCCTTGAATTAAAAAATATTTTATTATAGAAACAATTATATTATTTACGATCGCAAATCAGATGGAAATAACGGATTGTCACTGAATATTTTAAACACACATTCCATTTGCCTGCTCATTGAGAAACCGTTACCAAATTAATATTTTAATAAATAATCATATTAATAGAGGTTATAAAAGAGACTACTGATTATAATTTATAACACAAACATGATGAAAAACAAGTTCATAAATTAATCTAAATACCTAACAAATATTTACTAAGGCTAAGATTAAGCTTTCATTGAGGTTTGAGTTTCTAACCCATGGTATGCACTCAAGACATAAAAATGGAGTGTTTGATTTAGTTTTAAGCTTTTAATAAGTAAACAAATTTAAATAATAACACGAAAGAATGGATACCATCGGTTGCCGATGCTGGTATACCCTTGTAGATACATTATATTATAAACCTTATTCCAAATGTCTTTTAAAGTATAACAAAGAAGTGCTCGGAAGTGCTTCTCCAACTATTAAACAGACAGACGATAGATAGACCAATTTTTTATAATAATAAAGAATATACATTTTCTATCCATTTACTTTAACTGAAAATATTGTCTTACTACAAGGGTTGGAACTAAATTTAAAAACTTGTTTGGTTTAAGTCTGTTAGGAATCACACCTATATCATTGCCGTTGGTTATATTCGCGCTGGTAAGATTTTGCGTTGAAGTCCACGTCCGGGAAGTGGGTCTAAAGGAGAGAGTTTCATTGGTGATCAGATATCCAGGGAGTGGTATTTGCTCATCACTCACCGCGAACTCTGGGCATCGGATAGATTGGGCGAGGAGGCGGCCACCTCTTCGCCCGCCCTCCGGGCTCCATGCTCCTTGTAATCCCGGAAACAGCGCTTACATCGCGTTGGATACCGAGTCTGTGGATGAAAGCCGAGGGGGCAGAGCTGATCGCCTTTCAGCGATGGATATAGATGATGCATCTGTTCTCGTACAACTTAGCAGCTTTTCGTTTTCTAAAACCGTTAATTCAGATATTATTGTCAACCAGATAGAAATTAATATAATTAAAATAATTCTTAGCAAAAAGACTTCAAGTGAATTTTTTTCAATAAGATACCAAATGGTCATTTAAGAGTTTTGTGTGGTTTTTTATTTGATAGTTATATCTATTATTTGCACGAACAACATTCCCAATTGACCGGTTCTGTACAAAACATTGGAATTTCTGGCATTAATCCAAATCAACAAAAGAATGTTGTACACTTGTACATACATGTGCTCATCAAATAGTAGAATTTAGTTTGCCAGCAAAGTGTATTTCTTATCTTTTACTTGGTCATTACTTTTAAGTTTCTAGATTGCTTGAACGCTTGAATTATTTATAAATTACAATGTAGCACAGCTTGATGTAGATCAATGCCTTTGATTACAACAAAAACATTTGTAAGCTCTCTAATATTAGGAATATAATATAATAAATTTATTATTTTATTATTTATTTTTATTATTTTATTTTTTTTTTTAGGGAGCTGTCGAGACAAGGATCCGGCCCTTAAAATAGTATATTTAGTAAATTGTATAAATTATTATATATGATATAGATATGTTTAGATGTTAAGCCGAAGACTAACAGAAAGAAACTGACTAAAGAAACAATTTCCCAAAGTGAAAACAAGAAAGAAAGCTAACTTTGGCCAGCCAAAGTTTGTATACCGTTGCAGGTAACAATTAAAATATATCATAACTAAGCCAAAAATAAATTAATTTCGATTCGGAAAGCAGTTTTGTTAGTTTTTATTAATTTAAAAAAACTGCATACCAAATTTAATATTTTAAGAAATCAAAATTTTTGGCCATTTTTGCAAATTTTAATGAAGTAACCCTTTATCAAATTTCGCAAAAATGTCAAAAAAATCGATTTCTTCCTTACATATCTAGAAAGATTCCCCTGTTGATGCTGATCAAGAATATATATGGTTTATGGGGTCGGAAATGATTCCTTGACTTAGAAAAATATTATTTTGTATTATAAAATCGGATTTTTTATATTAAAAAACTTCTTGATTTTTTTTTAAATTAAAAATATCATAACTCGGCCAAAAGATCATTAATTTTAAATCGGAAAACTGTTCTGTGCAAAATTTTCTACAGTTAATAAATCTGCATACTTCATTTAAAAATTTTGAAAATTCAATTTTTTATCAAAATCAAAAATTTTAATGATGTAACCCCTTATAAAATTTTGCAAAAATGGCCAAAAAATCGATTTCTTCCGGACATGTCTAAAAAGATTCCTCTTGTGATGCTGATCAAGAATATATATATCGATTTCTTCCGGACATGTCTAGAAAGATTCCTCTTGTAATGCTGATCAAGAATATATATACTTTATAGGGTCGGAAACGTCTCCTTCACTGCGTTGCAAACTTCTGACTGAAATTATAATACCCTGCAAGGGTATAAAAATGATGAATTAATCAAATAAACTTTTGACCATATTTCACCGGCTTTCTATGCAATTAGTACAATGCTTTTGCTCACAAAGAGTAAACTTCCGAAAAGCAATTGTAAATATAAACAATAACAAATATGTATCCCATATATTTTAAGAGCCATCTCAAAAGAGAGAGAAAAATGCAGGCGATCATCATCGCAGGTGGAAGCTGCGCAGGCAGCCTGCGCATGTTTTTAGCAAAAATATTAATTGAGACCAAGGCAATGCCCGAAGAGAGTGGTAAGGGAGAGCTTTTTTTATCGCCACCTCTTAACTTTCTTTGGCTCGCTCTTTTTTCGATGCTGCATATCCCTAGTGCGTTTATAAATAATTATCACCGTTTTAACCTATTTTCATCCGTGCCGTTCCGATTTTATTTTATTTTTTTTTTTCGGCGCGGTACTCACTTGCAAAATGTGCGACTTAATTTAGAACGCCCAGCGACAACTCACACAAAATACTTCCGCATTTAGAATAATTAGCGGCTGGACGACTGGGAATTGGACCAGGACCAGGCCAGCATCCGCATCCGCTCTTTCTCCAAAGGCACGACGATCCGCTGTGGACACTGTGAGAGTGATACGATGTGGATGTGGCCGCGAGGCGTGCGGAATTTTTCGTTTACCACAGCGATTTCAGCTGGGCTGTTGCGTAACCCGTCCGGATTGGCGTTTCCTGTGCCTTGCAATTACGGCTGATTTCGCGATCCTAAATCCTTATTATCCTTTGATCACTTTGGTCGGCAAATCCCCGCTCACCTTTTGCTCGCTGTGTCAATTTTGGAATATTCACACTTAATTCACAACATTTACGGCCAAAAAATTAGCTGTGTTTTATAAATAGCATTGTGTTCTTTTTCCTTCTGAATGGCAGCGCACTTCACATACACAAATCATCCCAGCGGACTTCAAATGCAAGACGTTTTCGAAATATATATATACGTCGATGGATCAATCGCTCTCTCGGTGGGATTACCAAATATTATTTGTTTACAATAATTTCAATTGTTTCCAAATTGAATTTTTGACTTGAATCACTGGCACGCACACAGGCCCGAGCATACATATGTATATTTATATATCTTTAATATAACCGCCGATCGTCGAGCTCTCGAAATACCTATACGGCGGATAGCTGCATCTCTTTCGCGCTGCCATGCGACCACGGCGCAGATTCTGGGCACTGTTTTTGGCTTGCGAACGCGTTGAAAATCGACGAGAAACTAAATTTAAATCATTTCGAAAAGCTTAAACTAACCGCCGGAGCCAATTGTATTATTGTACGAGATATTGCCACTCTTTTTTTGTTTAAGAGATTTTTACAAAAGAGAATCGAATCGGCGGAGGAAAACTCGACCATTTTCGAAAATGTTTTCGAAGTTTCGTTAACTCAACAGACTGGAGAACCAATTCAGTATTTATCCTGTGAAAGTTTTAGGAAGAAAACTCAGGAAAATCAGAAATTACTTCAGCATTTAAGTATATTTACATACATAAATATAATTTTAAATTTCAAATAGCGCCATACCGATCCAAAATGTGGGCATTACGATGCTAGGTGAAATAAATACAACCAAGAAACAAGCTTTTAAAAATTATAAACATTATAAATTATTCAAGAAACTGTTTTTAAGATTTTGAAAATATTTATCTGCCAAAATATGAAAGTGGGAAAGGCTTGAATAAATAATTACGTATTGAAATAGTAAACATAATTTGAAAATGATTTAATTGTTCGTCAGATTGCCAATAAATATGGATTTTAATCAACCTTTTTTGTCGCATTTTAAACAAGTTTTATTTATTTATTAATAATATACAAGTGTAAATTGATTTACTATTTTCAATTGGAAAAATTCGGATATATTTTATACAGTATTTTGAAAATAAAATAAAATTAATAAATAATTAATAATTAAGCTCCAATCACCAGCTGTTGTTTGTTTATATTATTATTTTTTACGACCGTATATCCTTCAGTTATCTCTAGGGAATCAAAATTAATGGCCACATTGAACTTTAGAACATAGCTTCAACTGCATTTATAGTGCATATCAAAATCACAAATATATGCGCCTAAATGAAATATACTTTGGTCTTTATCTTACTGATTATCATACAAATTCCTTAATTGCAAGTCACCCGTGAAAATGTCTGATTATTTCTCGATTTGTTACGGAATTTATTTAGAAATCATAAAATCGACAGAGTACATGGTGTACATTATTACATTCGTTTTGTGTTTGTGTGTGAGTGGGTTTCGCCTTCATTTAAATGATTAACTCCATTTCCATTGTTTACAATGTGTGTATATAGACACTATGCTCTAATACGTATGTATAAATTAGAGATTATTAATCGCTAGGTCCTAAATCAGGCTATCCGATGACGAATGTGTGTGCCCTCTTCATGTGTGAGCTGTTTTGTGAGTTGGGTGAGTGAGTAAATACGATGCAACAGCGGCGCGAGCGAAATGAAGAGCATATATGATTCAACAATGGCAGGTAGCAGCACCTCTGCCTATCATGTTGCACTGGGGACATCGGCGGCAGTGGGTGGTGTGGCCGCTAGCTCCTCGCCAGAGTCGTTTGGCGTCGTCGTCACTGACGGCACCAGCGGCGGCGGTGGCAGATGCGAGCTGGCTGCTGCAGGTCCATTGTTGTTATCATTGACCACAGGCTGATCCCCCGCCTCCAGGATCACCGTGGGAGCAGGCTGTGGCTGCGTTTGGCTTTGACTTTGATTCTGACTGGGGGCAGTGTTGAATGAGTTGTTGCACGCCTTCGCCGCTGGCTCCGGACTGCTGTACATCTGGATAACAGAGTTGTTGTTCATATTCTCGACAGAGGCGCCCGAAATGGACAGATCGTCAGCCGAGTCGTCCGCCATGATATCCGTCTGCACGGCTTTCTCCTCCAGCAGGTGGTCGCTTTCGCGTATTGGACGCTGGGCAGATCCGTACTGCTTGGATATCTGCAACAGTTCGCGCAGTGTCTCATTCTCGAGGCGCAGCTGCGAGATAGTCTGCAGCTCTCGCTGCACTACCCCATCGTCCGCGCTGGCCGCCCGCTGCATTACGGCGGCCATCTCGTTGATCTTCTCCCGCTGCTCGCGGATCACCTGCCACATGCGCTCGTTGTACAGCTCCTTGAAGTTAAACTTGCTGTCCAGCACCTTGGACACTGTGTGCTCGCGGTACTTTTGCATCATCAGCTCCATGGCCCGCTCGTAGTCCTCGATGCAGATCTTCAGTTCGCGATTCTCCTTGAGTATCTCCGAGCTGTTGATATTCTGCTGCTGGATCCGATTGACCATGTCGGCATTGGTCTTGTTGTTCGAGATGCGGTTGAGCGACTCGATGTCGTCCTGGTACTGTCGCAAGCTCTCCACCAGCCTATTGTTCGTCTCCGCCTCCTCGAGCAGCGCTGTTCCCAGTGCGTCCAGGTCCTTGACCCGACTGGCCATGCGCTGGGCGTCCATTATTATCTGGCCCACCGATAAATTCGACATTCTGCCGCCGTCACAAAGCCCAATTGCAATTTTAGAATTTCTTTTGTTATGTTTCCCAGGTCTTGCGACCCGCCTGGCTCTGCGAAAACAATGGAGGAGATTCACAACATTTTCTTGGCAGCTTCCTGACTAGCGGATGGGCCCTTACCTGAGGTGTAGTTTAACTGATGTCCTTTTTAACAGCTTTATTTTATTTCTGGGCCAAAATACGGAAAAAAATACGCTTACTAATAAAAATTTTGACGACCAAGTGTTGCCAGATGATGCCCCCTAAAAAATCTCAAAAAGTTGAAATTTCCACCTAAAAAATCCAGTTTTCCCTCAAAATTTTAAAAATCAGTTAATTTCAAAAAATATAAGTAAGATACATCTTATTGTTACTTTATTTTAATGTTTTTTATACATATGCATCGAATATACCTTCTGAAAACTCGGTTTTGTAAGCCTCTTCATTCGCCAGATGCGAATTTGGCTTTGCACCTAAAAAATCTCAAAGAGGTTAAATTTCCCCCTAAAAAATCCAGATGTCGCGCTAATTTAAAAAATCAATTTATTTCTAATTTATTTAATTTGCTTCAAAATGTAATGTTTAAACTATCGCAAAACATCGCAGATATTTTTAGTAATTTAGTCGTCAGGAATACCCTGAAGGAAAAATAAATGAAATATTCGTGTTTCTTTCTCAGCATTCCACTTGTGTACACCTGCGGTCATAATAATAGCACGAAATATGATGGATGTTTTAAAAATACAAAGTATTCATAACCCTAAATAATTGATATTTCATGTTTATAAGTAATTTAATTTGACATGATTTAATAATAATCATTGTAAAGAATGTTCTAGCGAACTAATGGAGACATTTAAATTTTATTAGAATATATCTCCTAATTGCTAAATATATTCCTCTTTGCTTACAAATTAAGAAATTTTGAAGGCTAATGTTTAATGAAATATAAATTAGCTTTCCGATCCATACCCTGATCTTTAAATACATATATTTTTCCCAAAAATTGTTCAAGCCCCAAAATAAAGTGTAAAAAAGAAGCTAAAAGCTTTATTATCATTTTTATGTAAAGTCATTAGGAAGCTATCAGTACAGATTTGTTGTTCTTAATGCGAAAATGGAAGACTTAGCTAAGAATGGACGTAATGCTAGAATCCTAATCGATCCATACACGGAGTAAAACTAATAATATCTATCGAGTACCTTAAGTCTATCTGATGTCGTATAAGTACTTTCGTCATTTGAAGTGGTAAGTAGATAAAACACAGAGGTAGAGGTAGGAATAGCATAATACATCGGGCGTAGGGATGTACAGACTAAAGATCACGAGATTGCGCTTACACGCCAACACTGTTGAGACTGCCGGAGGAGAGGTTCTCGGAGCGACTAGAGAGCCGGGGTCGCTTCATGAGCACACGGCCTGCCTTGCTAGTGGGCAAGTCCACCGGTCCCACCTCCGCCGATTGATTAAGATGATTGTTGTTGCCGCTGTTGGATCCGTTGCTTCCGCCGGCACGTTCCAGCGTGCGTTGAGAACGGCGTAACGAGGACGAGGACATCCGCCGCAGGCCGGGATCATAGTCGTAGCTTGACTGGCACTGGAAGTACGCCATGTCTTGGTCGGTTTCGTTCTTCTCCTCCAGCGTCTGCTGCTGCTGCTGCTGGGCCAGGGGGTTAAGGGTGATGTGAATGTGTCGCGTTCGCTGTCGCTGCTTGCCGGGGGAGCAGCTGCTGCCCAGGGCCACGAAATCCTCCCTTAAGTTCGCCATCCGTGGCTTGTTCTGACTGCTGCCGCCACGGACGCGAGAGCTTCGCCGGCGACACACGCACAAGCAAGTGCTAACCAGTAGCAAAATCAGCACTGCTCCACCGCCAATAGTGCCCGTGAGCATGGGACTCATGCTAAATGTCTCATTGTGACTGGGCGTGGTCGTATCCCGATCCCGGTCTCCCTTATGCAATACGGGTTCCTCCGTGGTACTGGTCTTGGGACGCTGCGTCCTCCCTTGCTTCAGAGCACTAAACTCGGAGGCGGAGACGGCACTGAAGGACTGCAGCTTGAACTCGTATATGGTAGCCGTCTCCAGGGGGGTGATCTTAAAGCTCCTGGCCTGCGCTCCCTCGATTGTAGCCTTGAAATATTCACCCGCCGACGAGGATGGGCGATAGTAGGCATAGTATCCTGTGATCAGACTCTCATCAGCATTGCTGGCCAAACGCCAGTGCAGCACCACAGCTGTCTCTGAATACTCTTCGATCTCCAGGAGCTCAGGCACGGGCATGGGATCGAGTGCTGCTCCCGGCTGCAGGTAGAACTTGGCCGAAGTGACGCTCTCCTTGTTGTCGTTGTTGGAGTAAACGGCCAGGATGCGGAAACGGTAAGTGTGCTGGGGCTTCAAGTCCGTCACCGATGCCGTGAAGCTTTTGCCCAGCTCTGAATTCCATTTGGGCTTTCCGTACGGTATATTGTCGTTCGTTGTCTGCCAGTTTTTCCGCTTGGCTTCGCCAACCATGCGATACTGCACCTTGAATATGACGATGGGCAGCCCATCATTGCGGGGCACTAGCCAACGGAGCATTACGGATTCATCAGAAAGACGTGTCACATTCGGTGGCGAAGGCGGGATCATCTGCTGCTGCTGCTGTTGCTTCCGGCTATGATTGGGCTTCGGATGGGAACGGTGAGGAGATCCTCCTCCCGATTCGCGGGGCTCACTCTGGATCTGCTTGGGATTCACCTGCAGCAGCGCTCCGGCACTATGCTCGCCTAGAGGGTTCCGGGCAAAGCACTGGACATAGCCTGCATGCCTCTTAAGGACGCTGTGCAGCACCAGGGAACCATTGCTAGTCAGCTCAGCCTCCGTATCATAGATGCTGCTCTCCCCGTTCAACAGCCAGTAGATCTCTGGAGCAGGCACTCCGGCCGCCTCACACTCCAGCTGTATGCGTTCGCCCTCGTTGGTGAGATTCGCCCAAGGGGAACGTATAATGTGTGGTGGCTGCTCCACATGCAGCCGGATGGAGTGCTTCAGAGCTGGTCGTACGCCGTTGTCCAGGAAGCAGATATATGTGCCTGCATCCCGAACCTGGACATTGGCTATCTCCAAGGCGTGAGTCAATACTGTCGTGCGCTTATTGTTAACGGCTCCAGCGACATCGGGGCTGCTCCACACGGCTGTAGGCGTCGGTGAACCTATGCCAGGGCAGAGCAGTAGCACAGTGCCTCCCTCCCGGGCTGTAACAGTTTGGAATCCGGCCGGCTGTCCGTTGGGAATGTGTGGTGATTTGTTCTGAGACCTCTCAAATGATACGATCTGTAATTCCAGAGAGCTGGACAACTCCGTCCTGGCCCCTGAAGCCGGATTCGTGGCCTGGCAGCTGTACGTACCGGCTGACTCTGAGGAGACATTGCTCAAATGCAAATTGCCATTGCTGGCCACATACTCCGCCTTAATTTCCACACCATTCTGATAGTAGGTCCAACTCGCCGCGGGATTCGACTGCACCTGTTGGCCGCAGGACCAGAACACCGAGTTCCCAGCAGGCACACGCCATTGCAGAGAAGATTCTGGGCCCACCAGCCGAGTGCTGGCCAGCTCAAGGCGGGCTGTGGTGGAGGTTACCACCAGGGGACCAAACCAGCCAATACACCTGTACTCCCCGAGTGTGTCTGACCGGACGAGAACCCTTAGGCGGGAGATGGCCGCTTCCTGCGTCACATTCGCCTTGGCCGTGCCCGTGCGCAGGTGCTTGAACCCGGCTCCTGGAGATCCACGGCCTGTGGTGGCATTCCAGCGTCGATAGCTCCACTCGAAGCGCTCGGGCTGCAAACTGGTCTCGCACTCCAGCACCACCTCGTCTCCCAGGGGCGCCACCAGTGATTCGGGCGCGCGAAGAATTCGCACGCCTGGCGAGGGATGTGCGGGATAGGCGGGCGGCAAAACCGGAATTGCTCCGAGCCGCGACGTCAGCAGCGAAACGAGCAGCAGCGAGGATGTCAGCAACGACAACGACATTGTGGCTGATTACGGGGTGCAGGGCGAGGGCTGCAGAAAATATATTTTAGTCCTGGATCTCGAGGGCCATAGGAGCGCGCTTGGCTCACCTGGCACCAGCTCAATCTTCGTTTGGATCGGTTTGTCCAGGAAACGCGTTTGCGTTTGCGCAGTTTATAATTTTCACTCTCGGCGATCTCGCATCACTTGTCGCTCACATACACACAGGCATGCGGATGTGTGTGTTCGCGTGGGCCAGAATTGAATTAGCACTGGCTGGGGACATTACGCGCTAACGAGCTGGCAGATCCATAAATGCATTGCGTCTTTAATCCGGGCTTCGATCGAGGAGGCCCTAAAGCCACTAAAACCGAACAAGCACATGCACTCAACAAGTCAAATAAACAACATTTATTATTCCCGTGGCTGGGATGCTGGAACTGGAACTTGAATGGGAGTCGGGAAGCGCTGGTTCAACTGCATTGATTCGCTATTGCTGCCGGAACTGGAGAGGAGAGGATCACTGGTTCCGAATTCATCGGTTCATCGCGCCTCACAGTCGACACCAGATATGACGGAATGCTGCATTTTTAATGTCACAATGTTTAATGTTTATATTGCATATCCAATTGATTTACATTCAACACCTTTACAATTGTTTTAAGATAAAGGAATCCTTTTGGAAATAGTATAGTTATACATACATAGTTGCTAATTAAAATGCTCACTTATTTTAAATAGGAATTTTCCTTAGCTGTGTAAATTCCATTTCTAAAATTCCTCCCGCTAAACTAGGATCTTTATCCCACAAGCTAACACAAGAAATCTTCAAAAATGTCCTTTCAATTTTTCGTACTTATATTTGACCTAAAAATAATTACAAATATAGTATATGGATCTCCAGACTTTTAATCCAATGCTTATTACGCAGGTGGCTTTTGAACCTTTGCCAATTCCGCCTTGAACTTTGATATAGTTTCTCGTGCCAGCTTCAGTTTGTCCTTGAGTGTAACGATCTCCACTTTCACTTTCTGCTTTACGTTGACAATATTATCCAAAGTTTTTGTCTTCTTCTCCTCAACTAAGCATAAAAAATATTTGTTTAAATATGATATCCAAGTGGTAAATATAGTAAATGCTTACAGTCGGTGTCGTGGGTTAGCAGGCCATTGGCGCTTTGTTCCGAGAGAAGCAAGTAGTGCTGCATGATTTGTGTGGGTTCTTGGAAAACGATTTCCTCGTAGGACTCCGATACAAGGCCCTTCTTAGTGTCCATTGTGGTGCTGGAGGTGAGCTCACCATCGACGACCGGCGACTGAAAGAGCTTGAGGATGTGGTAGCACGTCACAGGCCGCTCCGACTGGTCATTAAAGTAGATCTTGATGACCACCTCGAACTCGCCCCATCCAGTCTCTGTGATCTCATACGGCGGCTTCACGACGATCCTGTTCGGATTCGCATAGCTCTCGTGTAGCTTGAAATGCACCTTCTTGACGTAAATGGACATGTCCTCGTTTTGGAAAGGCTTCAGATAGACCTTCCATTGATGCGTGTGTCCGTCCTCCTCTCGTTTCTTGCCAAAGGAGCGCGCTATGTTCCCGTAAACAATCGGCTTGACAATGGTCACGCCTTTGAGCCTCCCACCGGAATCTCCGCCAAAGTCAGTCATATTTATTAAATTGTTGTTTTGTTAAAATTGTGTTTTGGTTCTTCTTCTTGTTTGGAGCAGCGGACGCCGTTATCGATATGTTGCTGAAATTGCAACAGTGCTGCCAACCTACTCAATTTTGTAATTATTTCACATATCGATATATTTAGCGCTGTATTTTGAATTGTTTTCAAAAAGTACATACGCTTTGGGCCTAATTTAATAAATAATTTAATGTAAACCAATTTATAATATACATAGAAATCTTTTTTTAGCACATGACGTTATTCAACTTTACAACTTACAACTATTGCTCTCTGAATCTCTTTGGAAGGATTCTCCACTGGATAGAATTAAAAAAAAATATATATATATATTTTCTATAGATATCGGAGGTTTCCAATTACAATCTAGAAAATAAAACGGGGAAAGCCATGTTTCAAAGTTAGTTTAATCGAGTAAACCATTCAACTCGCGAGACACGATCCCGCGCTGTGCGGATTCCAGTCCAGCCGATCCGGATCGATGGTCAGCTTAGGCTGCTTAAATTGCGGCTGCTTGAGATGATCGTGAATGGTCTTGGCCGTCACACAGATTACGTTCTGACCCTTCCAGTACTTGATCATCTTCATCGATTGCAGCGTATAGATGATGTCCTCCTGCGTGATGCCGCTCATCTCGCTTAGCTCCTTGATGGTCGTCTGCTCCGGCGAGCAGCGGTTCTTCATCAGCTCCAGCAACGTGTATGCCCAGTAGCTGCGATAGCTGAGGCGTCCCAGGTCCGACAGCGGCTTCTCCGGGCTGCCGATGACGCCCTCCTTGCGGGACAGCTCGTAGCTGAAGGCTATTAGCAGCTTACCGAATCCCTTCCGCTGATGCGGTGGCAGGACTAGGATGCAGGCCACATTAAAGTTGTCTATCGACTTCTTCTCCTTTGAAAAATAGCCGACAATATGGCTGCCCTCCCGGTCCGTTTCGCAGAGGATGTAAAAGAAGAACGGGTCCATGTCGAAATACAGTACCTTGTGGTCCAGAAAGAGCTTGGCCATCAGACAGAGCAGCTGGCAGTAGAGCGGCTCCTCCGTTCCGTTCACCTCGAAGATGGAGATCTGACCCTTGCGGTAGATCTCCCTGCCCGGCGGACGGCGTCGATCGCACTGATAGAGATGGAAGGCATAGCTCTGGCGGTGCCGCATGTACTTCAGGCAATACTCACACACGTACAGCGTCCGCGACTTGCCGAACTCCTCGGGAAAGGGACTGAAGTACCAGGTGTCTATTTCGTAGTTGCCAAACTGCAGCTTGTCAATGTACTTGATCTTGGTGATCGACTCGTGCTCCTTCTCCGCCGCCGCCTGGCTGGCAGTCAGCTCGGCGTGGCTCTTCTGGACATGGTTTATCTCGTCGTAGCGCCGCTTCTGGTAGCGCGTCATCTTCCGGTCGCTGTAATCATAGAGATTATTCTCGCACGGCGATAGATAGTAATCCCGGTTGAGTCCCGTGCGATTCGGTCGCTGGACGGAGTCGGGGCTGGCCTCCTGGTTCGTTGGCAACGGTGGCTGTGGCATCACTGTAATGCCACCCAAATCGTCGGCATTCTCCGATATCCGATGCCTGCCCACCCAACCATCCAGGCGGCGATTCAGGCCCACATAGTGCACATAGTACTCGTACGGCGTGGCCGCATTCTCCGTCGTCCGCCACTGCAGCACCTGGCCACGGTGGACGGTGCCATCATCCCGCCTTATATAGTAGATCTTCTCGGGATCGTCGTTAATATCGATCTTCTGCATCATTGGATCGCAGCTAATCACCGTAGTCATGGTTTCTGAAGTGGTTCTATGTTGGTCCACGGTAAGGTCGTCGTCGTCGTCGTCGTCGTCATCCTCCTCCTCATCCTCTTCGCTGCTCGTCTCCTCGCTGCTGTCGCTCGAAAAGGTATCGTCATTGGCGCTAAGCGCTGTCCGGCGTGGTAGCAACATTGACGAAGGAGGCGACGGCGGCGGCATATCGCGCTGGCGGGCATCACATAGTGCCTGCTGCATCTGTGCCTGCAGGTACAGCGGCGGCTCCTCCTCATCCTCGTCCGTCTGCGAGTCGGACGCCTTGAAGCCGAGCGGAGCGGGTATTGTGACCACATCTGTGACAATAACATAGGTGGGGGCATTGGGATCAACAGTGTAGCAGGTGGTCGCCGATGAGGGTTCGTCGTCGCTTTCCATGTCGGGTCCCACCACGACTTCTTGCTCCACCTCCGGCTCTGTTTCTTGCACTTCTTCCTGTACTTGCTCTGGCTCAGGCTGCAGTTCTTCTTCTGTTTCCCGATCCATGATATGTTCCTGCTCCTTTTGATCCTTTTTTTAGTTAGTTATCAATGTCGTCAAGATCAGACTCTTTATTTGAATACACCAGGTTTGGTACAACAACTAAAGCAGTTAAAAAAGCTACCTCTTTATAATCGACGGTTCTCCTTCAGTTCAAAAAGTGTTTGTCCTGGCGCTGCCATGGTTTTAAAATAGCTAAAGTTGAACTTCGAGGCTCAAATACAATACAATTTAACTGAAAAAAGCCTAGTTTCTTTTTCACAGAAAACGGGAATCTGATACTTTAGCAAAATTGTTTTGGTTCCTCTTGTTTGGATAGCCGACGCCGTTATCGATATGCAGCTGGAATTCCGACAGTGCTGCCAACCTGGTCCATTAATTAAAAATGCAATCTTTTTCCACCTCTGCGGTTATCGATTTATTTTGTGCTGTATTTTACCATCCCTTGTTTGTAATAAATACTTAACTTTGGATATAATTTATTAAAATATTTAATTTAAAAACCCATAAATCTTAGTAAAACAGCCATCATATACGTAAAATGATGGCGCGTCGCGGGGGAAAGCGCATTCGGATGGATGATCCTCCTCCGGAATATGAAGAGCTCCACAGGTACAGTTTACAAATCTCCGTTGCTCAAACCCTTTTTCAAATGTGTATTATTTATTTCAGCGATGCATTAAATGAGAGCACATCAGATGCAGATAGTCCCACCAAGCGAATGACCAGGTTACGAGCCAGGGGCGGAGTGCGGGACAAGCCACCTATAATTGATGACGACGAGGATGAGTTTTTCGCGCCAGTTGCGAGGAAGCGAAAGACACCCGCCACCCGTAAGCCGCCGGGAGAACGAAAAGAGCGGGTTGAGCGTCCACGGAAGGAACCTGTGGACAGGGGACACCACGAGCGTATCGACAACGAGCGGGAGATAACCACCGACGAAAACAGCTTGTACTACATTGTGCGGCACTCCAAGAACGCCATAGCGGTATGGGCTCCTTCCTTAGTTCCATAATAAACCCCTATAATGTGGTCTTTAATTCCCAGAGCATTGTTGACCAATGGATTGAGCAGTACAAGACGAATCGGGAAACCGCGCTGGTCGCCTTGATGCAGTTCTTCATAAACGCCAGCGGCTGCAAGGGTAAGATATCCGAGGACATACAATACCCAGTGGATCACACAGCCATAATCCGACGCATGACAGAGGAGTTCGATGAGGTAGGATACAGCTTTAAAGGCTACGATCGTTATTTAATACTACTTTTTACTTTAATTAAAAGGAAAGCGGTGAATATCCATTGATCATGACGGGCACACAGTGGCGAAAGTTCAAGAATAACTTTTGCGACTTTGTGCAAACCCTGGTGAAGCAGTGTCAGTATTCCATCATCTACGACCAGTTTCTGATGGACAACGTGATCTCACTGCTCACGGGTCTGTCCGATTCGCAAGTGCGAGCCTTTCGCCACACGGCCACCTTGGCGGCCATGAAGCTGATGACGGCTCTGGTGGATGTCGCCCTGCTCGTCTCGAATAACTTTGACAATGCTGCAAAGCAGTTTGAAGCCGAACGCGTGAAGGTAACCTGATGTGATGCGATAAGAAGTAATTCCTTTGCTAAAGTTTTCTTGCTTCAGTCGCGCGATCGTCGAGCATCTGACCGCCTGGACTCGCTGATGACAAAACGATCCGAGTTGGAGGAAAACATGGACGAGATCAAGAGCATGCTGACCTACATGTTCAAGTCTGTGTTCGTGCACCGGTACAGAGACAGCCTGCCGGACATTCGCGCCATTTGTATGGCGGAGATCGGCATCTGGATGGAGAACTATCCGCAGAACTTCCTCGACGACTCCTACTTGAAGTACATTGGCTGGACGCTCCACGACAAGATTGGAGAGGTGCGGCTACGCTGCCTGCAGTCTCTGCTGCCGTTGTACGAGAAGGATGAGCTCAAGGGCAAGCTGGAGCTGTTCACGTCCAAGTTCAAGGACCGAATTGTGGCCATGACCTTGGACAAGGAGTTCGAGGTGTCTGTGCATGCCGTCAAGCTGGTCATCAGTATTCTGAAGTAAGTGGAGAAGGTGTTCTTGCAGGGATGAGCAGTAGCTAATTTTGCATTTCACTAGAATCCACCCAGAGATATTGGCTGATAAGGATTGCGAAATCGTCTACGAGCTGGTGTACTCATCGCATCGCGGGGTGGCTCAGGCTGCCGCCGAGTTCCTCAACGTTCGCCTGTTCCATCTAACTGCCGACATGGAGGAGACCAAAACCAAACGCGGCAAACTGCGTCTGCCTAATACTCCGCTGGTCCGGGATTTGGTGCAGTTCTTTATCGAGTCCGAGCTGCATGAGCATGGAGCCTATCTTGTTGACTCCTTCATCGATAGCAACGACATGGTGAGGGACTGGGAGTGCATGACGGATCTGCTGCTGGAGGAGCCGGGTCCCAACGAGGAGGTTCTCGACAACAAGCAGGAATCTACGCTTATCGAGATCATGGTGAGCAGTGTCAAGCAATCGGCCACTGGAGAAGTGCCCGTCGGAAGGGCAAGCAATCGGAAATGCACTCTCAGTGCCAAGGAACTGAAGGCAATTCAAGATGAGAAGGCCAAGTTAACGGAACACTTCATTGTCACTCTCCCCTCGCTGCTGGAGAAATATCAAGCGGATAGCGAGAAGTTGGCCAATCTCTTGGCTGTTCCCCAGTACTTTGACCTGAATCTGTACACCACAAATCGCCAGGAGGGGAACTTGCAGGCTTTGCTGGACAGAATCAACCAGGTGATGAGCATGCACACCGGCCGGGAGGTGCTGGAGACGTGCGCGAAGACGCTGGAATGCCTGTGCGCCGAAGGCAGTGCCTCCTACACGAGATGCAATATAGCCAGATCGAACATTATCGAGGGCGCAGTGAATAAGTACAAGGACGCCATCGAAGAGTGGCGGAACCTTATACAAGGTGCGTAAATACTGTGTAATGCCTTACAGGAATCAAATTTTCACTCTATGTTTACTAATAGGCGAGGAAACCCCCAACGAGGATGACATCTACAACATAACCATTACCCTCAAAGTGCTTTCAATACTGTATTCGTCACACAATCTCAATCCCTGGGACCTGTTCAAGTCCCTTTTCCAAGACGTCGAGGAGGCCCAGTCCAAGGAGAACGTTGACCGCTGTCTTCCCAACGAGGCTCTGGCGTATTGCATAGAGGCCTGCTACTTCTCCATCAGCTGGGGGCTGTATTACGTGGAGAACGACTGTGAGTCGGTGAACGTGACCGATGTGGTGGCCGAGTTGCGCAACAATCTGGACACCTTTATGGCTGCCTGCTTTGAGTTGACTCGCGATGGACCCACTGTGCAGATACAAGAGGCGGTTAGTTGCTCATGTATTCCCCCAGGGAAACACTATTTCAACGTTAACATTTTGCAGGCCTATCAATCCATATGCGATCTGCTGATCATTTACTCCGATAAATTGGCCCGCAGCGAGATCGAGCATATACGGGGCCTGGAATACAAATCGCGAATGGATGAGCACCTAATATTGGACAACTTTGTGCAGCACTATGTGTTCTCTCTTAAGCAGGATGTTGCTCAGGATGAGACGCGCATTGAGGAGCTGCACAAGAAACGTAACTTCCTGGCTTGTTACTGCAAGTTGGTTGTTTACAACATAATACCAACAATGCGGGCGGCCAGTATTTTTAAATATTATGTCAAGGTGAGTGTTTTATTTAGAAACAAGAAAGGAAGCTAATTTCGGCAAGCCGAAGTTTAAATACCCTAGCAGTTTGCAATTAATTGACTAATTTCTTGTATTTCTATACTGTATTTTAATTTTGTTCTTTTGTTCAGTGCTACAACGACTATGGCGACATAATTAAAGCCACCTTGGGCAAGGCTCGTGAAATAAATAAAGTCAACTTTGCCATGACCTTGCTTTTAAGCCTCATAACGGTTTTCAAGAGCCTACAGGAGCAGCATGAAGACGGCATTGTGTCTAAGAGTTCGCAGGAATTTATAGATCTTAAGGAGTTGGCCAAGAGATTTGCCCTCACCTTCGGTTTTGACGCCCTCAAGAATCGCGAGTCGGTGGCCGCCATTCATCGCGGTGGCATTTACTTTGCCGCCAACAAGCAGCCCGATGATCCTGTGCGAGCTCCCACACGCCTGCTGTTCCTGGAGGTTCTCAATGAATTCAATTACAAGCTGCTTAAGCAGGACAAAAAGGTGATCATGGGATGTCTGGACAAGATCATACCGCCCGGCATGCCATCCAGCCGCGCTGAGGAATGGCAACCGCTGGTTCTCTATCGCAACTCGTTGCTGCATGGCGAAACAGATCAAGCGCCGGTCGCCAGCAAGCGGGCTTACACACGCAAGCGACGGGATCATGGTGAGATTCATTTATTCATAACGTTTATAACAAAATTCCGAACAAAAAAACAAAAAATTCTATTTAATTTAGATGAAGAAGAGGAGGAGGAGGAGGACGAAGAGGAACACAATGATCCCGACTACAGGGGCTAGGACCCATCGCATTTAGTTTAAAACGATCAACTAGCCGTTAAGTTCAAAGTCTTAATTATGTATATAATGTGTCTAGATATTAAACATCTTACTCCCTACTGTCCGAAGTGTAATTGGCCTTGATGAGCAATATTTTTGATGCACTTTCTGGACTCAATCCTGCCCGCATGTCACCGTACAGGTGTGCAGATTCCCGGAACAATCGTTCGCCGCTGGCACTTGCTGCCGGCACCGATAGAAATCTCCGGACAATGCCATACATGGAGCTATATTTGATGTTTGCCTTCCACCACATCAGGGGATCCGTGTTCCTGTCAATTCTCGGCTCAGAGTTGTACAAGTAAAGGAGATTTTTAATCTGCGATTGGGAAGCAAAGGCGGCTGTCGCCGCCTGTTGAATATTCGTGGAGGAGCCAGCCGTCAGCATATTGTCGAGAATAGTATCTATCTTTGACTCGTTCATCTTTAGAGACGACGACGAGGATGATACTTTGATTATTTTTAATGCCGGCTGTCCGTCGCCATCCCCCTGAACAGTGGCGAGCAGCAGCTGCAGAACTTCATTGGCTACCAGATGCTCCTCTCGCTCGGTGAAAAAGGCCTGCTTGTACCTGGGATCCAAATAGGTGGCTATTAGATATTTGTTATCGCTGGTGACATGTGAGAACTTCATTTCCAGCTCTTCGAGCAGCTTTCTGGCAAAGCTGCAAATAGTCTATAAAAAATAAAATTAAATTTGTATTTATTTATTATTTAAATTATAAGGTTTTGTTACCACGGAGGAAACGTAGTTGTGGACGTCCGTTCGAAGGGAATCCCTTAAGGCGGCCACGAGTGGAATTACCGATGACGCCGACGTCGATGGATAGCTCCAGATCCTAATGATTTCCTCACACGGCTGCATCACCTTACTGCACAAATCGATGTCTGTCCACTCGTCCGGGTATATCTGAACGAGATTATACTCCTCGGAGTACAGAGTGAGTGCATCCTTCATCCTGAACACGCTTGCCATCATCTGAAAGATCGCATTCCACCCCAGAGGAACAGCAGGTGGTAATGAGCTAGGCTCTCGTTTGAGACGAATCTCTTGGATGAATTTGAGATGATCATGAGCCATCTGGTCATTGGCAAAGTGTTCAACTATTTGCTTGCACTTCGACGACAGATTCTGAAGCACTTCGTTCGACTGCAGAGCAAATCTCACGCACATTTGAAGGCGATGCACACTGCAGTCGGGAAGTGATCCCGGCAGAGCCGTTAGCTCGTCCCTGATGATGCAATGAACCCTCTCTTTGGGTACCTCTATTGCCATGCCAGGAATGAGGTCCCGAATACAGCATGCCAGCTTCGCAGGGCACTCGTAGTTAATGGCTTCGCACCGTAGCGTAAATCGATGGCTCTGAAAATCCCGCGAAATAGCAGAACAAGACAAGCTGAGCAGTCCCTCACTGTTGTCACCTCCCCACCACAGACTTGTGGACAACGAGATGGAGTCGAGGACATCAACCTGCTGCTTTACGTGCGCTTGCATTCTCCTGTATATGTCGTGGCACAGTAGATTCTCGTAATAGCTCCTCGAGCGGATAACATATCTTGGCTGCAGTACTTTCACAAAGCTAACGAATCCCTGTCCTTCAATAAACGCGAATGACTGGTTTAGGAGCATCAGTGCCAGCTTTTCGTCACAGCGCGCAGTAACAAGGGAATCCTCTGTCTCCAAGGGATCAGGATCGAGTTCCTAAACAGAACAAATTTAAAATCATCTCGTCAACCTTAATAGCCAAAATATAATGAGGAACAATGTAATTGGCATAATCCTTAAAAAAATTAAGTTTATTCGTAAAATTTTACCAAGCAGACTTAAAAGATATAAAATTTTTTAAATAAAAACTTAATAAAATATTGATATGCTGAATAATAGATATATGTACGTAAAAATATATATAAATATTTATAAAATATAAATATATTGAATCACATTTTGATTTCCCAAGATCATGTCGGAAGTATTACCGGGGAATCACCAACAATTCCCTTTCCGTATTTGCTATTTGATCTGCTGAAGGAGCTCAAAACTGGGACATGGATACTCACATGCAAGTGCAACTCCAATTGCGTTGTGGGGTGATGAGGCGAAGGCGAGCTATTTATTTCCCTCTTCACCGCAAACTTGACGTCTTCGAGTGTTAGAAACTCTTCTTGGTGCTTGCTTTTCAGGTGGTTACGGAGACAAGTGGTTACACGGCCCTTTCTCGAATAGTTTCTGTTGCACAGGCAGCATGTCGCCACTGTGTCCGAGGCCTTGTAGAAGAACTGCCACACATTGCTTTTCTTGCTCATGGTCCCAGAACTACGCCGAAAACTGCAAAAACTCTTTTTTGCGGATGTCCGCATCCGCTTTCACATCCGTTCTGCGGCAGAGGTTCGGCAGCCCTGGAAAACTATCACAAAAGCTATCGATTGCTTCATTTGCAGTCACATCAAAATCAAATAAGTATTTCGCATCCTATTTTGTATCCCTGATTGTCCAGTTATCGACTATCGGGCAACTATAGCCGCTTATTAGTTTTTGGCGGGCCAAAAGCAGCTGTTGCTTGGTTTACAATATTAAAAATATATTATATTCTCCCCAAACAATGCCATGCGCCATGGAGTTGCCCAATACGCCCGATGAGCTGGCCATGCAGCACAAGGACTCCACAGTTCTCAAGGAGCTACTCAAGGATTCAACACGATGGCACTCCATTCCGCTGCTGAACTACACGCCACTCCACAAGCTAAAGGATCGGACTTTGGTGCGATTCCGGGGCATGATCCAGGACATGATGGACCCAGAGATCTACCTGGAGCGCTATGAGGTGAAGGCCCCCGACGGTAGCAAGCGCCTCCATGACGGAAAGTACTTGGATTGCTTGAAATTGGCTGCTGGCGAGGAGATCGACTACAATGCGGAAGGTAATGTTCACGGCGAGAGGCGAACCCTGTTCTTGGTGTCAGTTCCGGGCCTGAACGATTGGAGCAGGCAACACGAGCAGCAGTGTGGGCCACAGATCGAGGTCTGCCAGTCTGCAGGCTCAGGTAAGAAGCGCACTCTAGATGCCCAGGAGGAGGCCATGGAGGTGGACGAAGCTGGTGAAACCTCTCTTAAACGGCAATGTGTAGACGAAATCAAGACGGGAGAGGCACAGGTAGCCGGTTCTGGCTCATCAGTCCTCGGCTCCGAGTATCTTATCAACTCACCATTGCCCAGTCGCCCAAGCATGGCCTGTATGGTGAAAGTCTATGAGGACTTTGACTCCTATCAACTCAACACATTAGTGGACTTTGTGGGTTTTTTGTCCGTGGACCCATCCCTAGACGCTGCCAGCCTGAATATGGAGGAGTACGATAGCTTAAGTGAGCTGCAGGCTGCCCACCCGTCGCCCTTCCTCATACCCCGCCTGCATGCATTCGGATTCCAGACACTAGCTCATGCGAATCCCTTGCTGGACAGCACCCTGCGACAGCCAGCAGCAGAAAATAGTGATGAGGCGAACCCGAGCCAGCTTGCCGTGCACAAAGATCTGCGCATACTGCTCAAACTCTGTCTTTTTGACGACGACCTGGCCGCTGAGTATCTGCTCTGTCATTTGATTTCCACGGTATACAGCCGGACTCAGATGGAGAGCATAGGCAAGTTCGCGCTGAACCTATGCAACCTGCCCAAGGAGTGCCTTCAGCACTATACAACCAAGCTCTACCAGGTGCTGGAGCTGCTGCTGCCGGCCAGCCATTATTTGCCCATGACTCTGGAAACAATGAACACTTCGGCCTTTGCCCCAAAGTGAGTAGGAGAACCTGAACGTACGTACTCTTTGGCAAGCTAATAAATGTGTTTTTTAGGAAGGACTACGAAACCAATAAGCTTGTCTCCGGCCTCTTGCAACTGGCCCCGCACACGCATCTAGTGCTTGACGAGACCTGCATGCAACAGGGCAAGCTGGAGGCCAACGGTGTCCATGCCGTTCAGCATCTGGCCCACCTAATCAACAACCAGGAGCTAAAGTGCGACTTTCAGTACTATCAGATCGACTATCAAGCGAACATTCCAGTTTTGGTCCTTAGCGAAGGACGCAGCATGTTGCCGGTAAGAGTTGAGTCCTTAAGGTGTCCTTGACAACATTACCTCTCCAGTGTTATTGTCTTGGGTTGCAGAGCGATTTCGTGGTGCCCATTAATGCAGATGCCAAGGCCGTGGAGCTGCTTGATGAATCTCTTAAGGCTGCCCACCACTACCTTCAGCCTGCGCGCCTTCAGCAGTTCCGCAAGTTTCTGACTACGGCCAGGCTTAGTCAGTTCAGTGTGAGCGAGGAGCACACGGAAATGATCCAGCAGGAATTTGTGGATATGCGCAAGGCCAACGTGAAGAGCAATGCCGATGATCTGCACGGTTTGCTAGTGCTTTCGCGTCTGCTGGGTATTGCCCGGGGAAAGCAGGCGCTGGACAAGGAAACCTGGCAGCTGGCTATCGAGTTCGAGGCAAAGCGTCGCCAGCGGCTTCAGTCCCTACCGAAGTCGTCAGCAACACAAATGCGCAATTAAAGTTAGACTTTATTTTAAGCTATCAGCGAAGAAATTATGCCATTATTTTGAACATTTTATATTTGTTCTTTATGCTTTCTTTTATTTTAATTTCCTAGTTCAAGAAGTTGGAAGTGCGCAATTACCTTCCTTGCTTCTTTTTTTACATACTATAAAAACTCAAGAATATCCCATTGATTACGTATCCTGATCCACGACTACTTCGTGGCTGAGATGCTCGAAGCGGCCCTCGATTAACTGGCTGGCCAGGCAATCGCCGCAAAGATTCAGATGACAATAGCAGCTGTTGCACCGCCAGGGCGTCCTGGTCACTGTCGCCTCCTCGCACTCAGCACATTTTGCTGCCAGTGGATCCGGATGGTAGCCATCTGCGTCAATCTGTTGCTTTTCACCCTGTATGCTGGTGAGAATCATAAGGCGCAAGTCCTGTTTGCGCTTGGCCTCCGCATCCAGGCCGTCCTCAAAGGCATCGGGCTCAGCCTCGGTCTTTGTTTCTCTTTTGATGTGTGCCGTCACATCGGTGGCGGGCGACAAAACGCGAATTTCGTCTAATGTACTGTCGTCGTCCGGCATTTGCAACGATATGTTGTGGGCGGGAAAGAAGGTGGATCTGCGCAAGTTAACCTTGTGTTTGCTAAGGCCCGCCTTGCGGTGCTTCGGTATACGACCGGGCACTGGCATCCCAGCGTCGTGTAGCTTTTGGAAGTACTTCTGGATGCGGCTAAACACCTGCTGGGGCGTGCGGTTGCCCAACGCTTTGGCTATTTTGGCAAACCGCCGCATCTCGACTTCCTCGGGCGGATACTGGATCAGCAAGTGCTCTAACCGTTGCTGCTCCTCGTTGGTCCACAACCGATTGAAGTTCTCCGACCGTCCGTTGCTCCTGTCCTTGACCTCGTCGGGTGGCTGTGTCATGGATGTTTTTCTCTCCGCCGGTGTCTCATTTGTGGCGTCTCTAATATCGTCCCTGGTCAGCAATGTTGGTAGCTCCGGCAGCTCAGCCGTACTGATGTAGTTATCCGATATCAGCGGCTCATTGTTTCGCAGCCTGTCCAGCATTAGCTGCGGATTCTCCAGGTATGCGTTGCGTGTGGTTTCCAGCTCACCGATCTGCTGGTGGACACGAATCCTTTGCGCCTGTAAAATCGCAATTGTGCGCAACAAGTTGGCGTAGCATTGGTTGCCACGAAGGGCCAGGTGCTCGGTCTCGAAATGGAAGACATCCTCATCCTCCGGAGAAGAGTCGTCAAGTAGTTCCATCTATTTGTTTGATATGATTCCTGCAAATTAAGATTTAACGTTTCGGAGAAAACAAAACTGCTTAAAAATATTTATTCTTCAAAAGTGTGACCGCTCTTAAAACAAATTCTTCAGCATTTTTGGATGTAACTCATGCGGTCATACTTTGTTGACAACGGACTTTATTTAAAAAACCAAAATTACTTTTAACAAGAAAGAAAGCTAACTTTGGCCAGCCAAAGTTTGTATACCCATACCCTTGCAGGTAACAATTAAAATATATCATAACTAAGCCAAAAATGCATTAATTTCGATTCGGAAAGCAGTTTTGTGTTAGTTTTTATTATCTAAAAAAAACTGCATACCAAATTTAAAATTTTAAGAAATCAAAATTTTTGGCCATTTTTGCTAATTTTAATGATGTAACCCCTTATCAAATTTCGCAAAAATGGCCAAAAAATCGATTTCTTCCGGACATGTCTAGAAAGATTCGCATGTTGATGCTGATCAAGAATATATATGGTTTATGGGGTCGGAAATGATTCCTTGACTTAGAAAAATATTATTTTGTATTATAAAATCGGATTTTTTATATTAAAAAACTTCTTAATTTTTTTTAAATTAAAAATATCATAACTCGGCCAAAAGAGCATTAATTTTAAATCGGAAAACTGTTCTGTGCAAGATTTTCTACAGTTAATAAATCTGCATACTTCATTTAAAAATTTTGAAAATTCAATTTTTTATCAAAATCAAAAATTTTAATGATGTAACCCCTTATAAAATTTTGCAAAAATGGCAAAAAAATCGATTTCTTCCTGGCATATCTAGAAAGAATCCCCTTGTGATGCTGATCAAGAATATATATACTTTATAGGATCGGAAAGGTCTCCTTCACTGCGTTGCAAACTTCTGACTGAAATTATAATACCCTGCAAGGGTATAAAAATTAATATAAATTGGATCTTGCAATAATAACAAAAAAAAAAATAAAAGAAAGTTACTTTTAATAATACCAATTTATTTTGGATGTGGCAAAATAAATGCATTTAATCACAATTAGGGCAAGTTACTACTACAGTTCGTTGTGCTGCGGTTTTATGGATGGATTTTGGGGCTTCTCCTGGGGGAATTCATTGTGGGATCGAATTTCCTTAGCTGCCTCAGCGACGAGATGTACGAATTCCTCCACATCGAAGCTATAGTTGGTGAACTTGGCGTGTGCCCCGCCCTCAGGATGATGACCCTCGTCCTGCGGATGGACCAAATCCTGCTGCTCCCAGGTGCGGTATCGTACGCCGCGCAGCCGGGCCAAGTCCTTGTAGCAATTGGGATCCTCGCAGTTGTACAGCTCAAAAATGCAGGCCCAGTTGGGCAGGAAGAGCAAATGAGTCAGACCAGCGCCATGCATGCCTATGAGTATGTCCGTGTTCCGGGTTATAGCCAACTGATCGGTGAAAGAGAGCCTACAAGAGAATACACTTTTTGCTAAAGTAAGAAAATTAAATACAATAACTGAATTACCTCTCGTAGGAAACGCGCTGCACGGAGTAGCCTTCGTCATCCTCCAGACGAGCCAGCAGCTCTCCTTCGTTGAGCACTTGCCGGTACTTCGTGCGGCGCGATAGATAAGTAATGCGGACTTTACGTTGCGGTGGCTTATAGGGAATCTGGAGGCGATGCAGTATAAACTCCGAGAAGGCGCGGAAGAGTCCACTATTCGAGCAGCCTTGGATCTGCAATAAAGTCTTAATGAGTTAAAAATTTAAAGCCCATCTTCCCTCACTTACTATGGGCGTATTGTAAAACAATCCAAAGATCATCCTGGGTAGCAGCGGAAGCACCACATTCTTGAAGCACACCCTTTTGCCCTCCACATCGCTCAGTGTCCACACCGGTCTCTGCGAGAACGCCTTGAACGTGTCCTTAAACGGTGAATCATATGGATAGGTTTCCCAAATAAGGATCTGTACGTCGGTGTTAAAGGCCGCTGGATGCGATTGGTTCACAAAGAGTGAGGCGTACAAGTTGAAAAAGTCACAGAAGTGATGGTACATGTTGTACGTGGCATCGATTTTCATAATAAAAGTGGGCGTATTCACCACGAGATCACAGAGCCCGCTCTCTAGTATCGGATGAGGTAAGACGTCTAGGTTGCGCAGCTCTGGCCCCCAGGATTGCAGTGCTGATCCTATGTGATCCATTTCACCAGCGAGCCTGGTGCGATTCAATTGGCAGTGGCCCAGCAGTTGACCCGGTTTGAGGACGTCCATATGGTAGCGAATGCGTTCCTCCCGCTTCACCAGATCCCTGAAGTCGAAGAGGAGATTCCTGCCGCGACAGAAACGTAGGTAGTGGGTGCACTCCAGCGAGGAGTCGCCCAAATAGGTGGGCACGCACTGCGGCGCCAGCTCCGACAACTGCTCCTGGATGTAGCCGAAGTCCGCCTGCTGGTAGAAGGTCTTAACCTGGGCCTCCTTGCTCCTTGCCCAGCCAGTGTGGTCTCCAGGGCACTGGGGCGTCTGGAAGCGGCCATCCGACGTGCAATCACGTTCGTGGCCCCAGCAAGCCGATGAGATTGTGGCCTTGCCAGTGAGATTCGACGGCAGCTGCTGCTTCAGCTTGGGAAACGTGTTTAGGTAGCGGATAAGGTGCTCGGACGGTAGGTTGGGCAAGGTCAACTCGCCCCCCAGGTGCTTGGCATCTTCTGGTTGGTGAGCTTGGCTCGGGGACAGGGACAGCAGAATCCCCGTGAGTATTAGCAGGATTGGCTGCATTTCAGTCGTGTTATTTTTAAGTACTTCGTTGCAATAGGCGATTTTCCCGGCGATTTCTCACGCTTTCACAGCCGCAGCAAGCGCAGCATCTTCGGGTGCATTTCACGGCCAGCGATGATGATGATCTCACCTGGCCTTAAGCGGCAGAGAGATGATTATGAGCGGAGTTAATGGTAATTGTCCATGTTAATTGTTCGCGAAGAACGCCGGAAAACCTGTCTCGGGCAGTGTGACCAAGTCCACCTGTCGTAGAAAAAGAAACGACCTGTTCCAACAAGCACAAGTACAGTGACCTATCTAATGAGCAGAATATTAGCTTTTTAAATTGTTTTTTAATTTAGAAAGGAAATTGTTCATTTTAAGCCATCTTCAAAGAATTATTGAAATAAATTATCTGTTCCATATTATAAAATAAATCATATTGTTTTACAGCATTCTTTATTTTTTCACTGTTTTGGAGAGAACACTGTATAGCTCCAAGTATATAAAAATACTGACATGTTAGTATATTTTAATGTTGCGACATTATCTGTCCCTGCTTTTTTCGTGAGTTGAGCGTAAAAACACTTCAATACTAATTATTATTTTATATTAAAAAAAAAACGTAATAATTGTATGTCTTATGTCAAGTTTTTTCTCCATTTGATGTTATTTCAACATAACTTTGAACTGCGCGCTCACTTCACGAAGCTTTGGCCATTTTCGTCGTCTTTTCTGGCCACACTTCGCTGCAGAAAACAGCTGTTGCAAGCATTTGACTTTTTTTTGACTTTGGTACACTTTTCGCTGGGCGCAAAACTAAAGCGCAGAAAGAGTTAGCAATGCGGAATGTGCCGAAATCGTAAGTGGACAAATATTAAAGCCAGCACACAAATCAGCAGGTAATCTTTGTCCCTCTGCCAGTCTCGGTCTCTCGGTCACAACACCAGGCGGCAGTTCCGGGGCCCCGGACAGCGGTCGCCACAACAGCTTGGAGGATATCAATCTGGACCAGTTCCTGAAGACATCCAACTACGAGGACACTGTGAAGCAGCTGGACATCTACTATGGCATCGGTGAGGATGGGGAAGGATCGTGTTGGGGGCTTTATATAACCTTGGCGGCCAATTGGGCACCAATTAAACGCTGTGGCGTCTGTCTATTAATAATCATCGCGAAATGTCGACGCCCGACGCTTGCGCTTGATTGTAAACAGAATCGTCTGTTTATTTGCATTGGCAATCGACACATTTTATTCACTGTGCGATAACCGCCAATTATAACACTTTCCCCCCAATCCCACACAGTCAAGCGTCAATTGCTGCGCTACCAGAGCCCCATTACTGGACTGTTCCCGGTGATGAGTACCGACCAGGTAGTGGGATCGGTGCGTGACAGTGTCTATTGTGCGTCCGCCGTGTGGAGCTTGTATCAGGCCTACCGGCGCATCGACGATGACCGCGGCAAATCCTATGAGCTGGGTCAGAGCACGGTCAAGTGCATGCGCGGCATCCTGGAGTGCTGGGTGAAGCAGGCGTCGCGAGTGGAGCTCTTCAAGCAGCGGCAGTCCAACCAGCACGCCCTCCACAGCAAGTTCCAGCTGCACACCGGCGAGAAGATCTATCCGGATGAGTTTTACAACCATCTGCAAATCGACTGCGTAAGCTAAAACTGATTTTTGTTCAGAAAGAGTCAAGATTTAAATAGTTTCCTCCCTTAGGTATCTCTCTATCTGCTGTTCCTTGTCCAGATGATAACCTCTGGCCTGCAGATCATATACACCCACGACGAGGTGGCCTTTGTCCAGAACCTGGTATACTATGTGGAGCGTGCGTATCGAACGCCGGACTTTGGCATGTGGGAGCGCGGATCCAAGTACAACAATGGCACCCCCGAGATTCACGCCTCTTCTATTGGCATGGCCAAGTCCGCCTTGGAGGCCATCAACGGCTGCAACTTGTTCGGCGAGAAGGGAGCCTCGTGGAGCGTGGTTTATGTGGACATTGATGCCCACAACCGCAACCGCAGTATTTTTGAGACCATGCTGCCCAGAGAGTCAAGCTCAAAGGTTAGTGAACTAGAGTTTTTCTTGAAAATTGAGATGATGATGAGTCTTCTCTTCAGGGCGTGGATGCCTCACTGCTGCTGACACTCTCCTTTCCGGCGTTTGCCTCCCACGAGGACCGATTGGTGGAGCAGACCAAACAAAATGTTGTGAATCGTTTGCGCAGCAAAATGGGATTCAAACGCTTCACCCGCGACGGTTTCCTTAGCAAAAACGAGGACAAAACCCGGCGCTACTATCACTCTGGGGAGCTGAAGGAATTCGAAGGTCTGGAATGCGAATGGCCGCTCTTTTTCATAGCCATGATCATCGATGGCGTCTTCAAGAATAACAACGAACAGATCGAGGAGTTCCAGAACGATCTACGTCGTTGTTTACGCACTGATGCCAATGGAGATCCGGTGGTGACCATGTACTATGCCCCGGACGGAGAAGGTTCTTACATGCGGGCCCCCTCGCAATCGCTGTTCCTCTGGGGTCAATCTTTCTTCATCATTGCCCAGCTGCTAACCGCCGGCCTGCTGCACATCAACGAATTGGATCCTATTCGCCGTTACTTGCCAAGCTATAATCGTCCCAGGAGGGCGGGTCGCTATTCAGCTTTCCAGGTGAGTTGGTTTCCCAAGATACAAAGGGTTTAAGGCGCTATGAAATGAAAAATTGTATTTAAACTTAAATTCGAAGAAGAGGCTCAGCAAATTGAAGTAATTTTAGGGAAAAAAAACTCTAGCTTAAGGGATGGATAAATTGATATCTTAAGAATATTTTGTCAAAGTTTTACATCAATCATAGACGAAGTTGGGCGTAGTTGAGGTCTTTTGGTGTTCATTTCATAGCGTCGGGTTTTATGCAAGGGTTTTCAACTCAACAAATTGGGGGGACTTCCCTGCTGATGCCGCTGCTGCCGCTGATGACGATGAGTCTTGTGTGTGTGTGCCGTGTATGTCTGCGTTCGCTCCCAATTGGTATCCCTTATCATAAGTGTTCCCGTGGCTTTGGTACTCTGTTCGTATGGGTTAAGTGAATAATTGGCTCTTGATATTTAATTCTATATACATTCTATTCATTCTCTACTACCAACCACTACTACATACTACTGCTACATGCATCTATCTACCCAAAATGACAAATCAAAACCCCAAAAAACGTTTACATATTAATTGGTTTCGTAACATAACAGGGCAAAGCTATTGACGAAAAACACAAAGTAAGTAGATGTTCTGCTTTACCAACAAAATTATCGATATATGTAAATTCCAAATTATATAGACACTCGAAATTACCCCACTACTCCCATGTGTATATAAATTAAATTATGCTTTTTAGACACAGACACAGCGCACCAAAAAAGATCACTTACTTAGTTAACTTTTTGTGGCTTGGCAAGACACAACACCGCTGATCGAAGAGATATAACTATGACACACACTCTTGACGATCAGTAGACACACACACCTACATTATATAGAAATGATTATTTGCTTATATTCTTAGTGATATTATTATTTCCGTATCCCCCCCCATGTTATTTGTATGTATGTATATAGCAAAAAATTCCTTTTTGGTATCTAAATCAAAAGTTTTCTCTTTACTCTTTTCGGTTTTCTTTCTTTTTTCTATATATACACCTATCAATATACTCTGCATATTTTGTTTAAAAAATTCAACATAAACCTACACGCTCTATATAGGCCAAACCGGGCACTGTAAGTAATTTGGGTTTCTTTACGTGTATGTAGTTATCAGTTGCTAACTCTTAATGTACTTAACCAAAAGGCCATAGAACGATCAAGCTTGATTTGGCTTAAATGTTGTCCTCACAAAGGTGTTAACACTGGGAATGTTGAAATACGAATTGGCCCGGAAATATCCCCAATAACGATCACACCTCCTTCAGTGCAACAAACATCCTTTACTAGAAATGTTTGCTTTAATACCGATAAATGCCGAAAGACAGCAGCCTTGCCTGAGCCCTCTAACAGAACTACCAAATAATCAAATGCCATTGCTAAATATACTACATGTTTTCCTCTGCTAAATAACCGACATTGTGCAAAAAAAAGAAACCACGCATTCCTCTTATATTGGATGACAAGAAGAAGGTAATTAGTGGTCTGGTCTGGGTTTTCTTTTCACCTTATTTAGGGACAAGAATTGGCAATTATAGAGCTAACATAGTATTCCCAAAACAAACGCCAGCAAATGCACTTAGTGTAATGACAAATCTATCCCGGGAAGAATATTGAGACTCCTATGCTAAATTTCTTACATCTTTTCCAAATTCTTTTGTAAGCTATTTCAAAATACTTGTGCTTGTCTTTTATAACCCATGTTTGGCATGTTAATATCTTGAATATTCTTGAGTTTTTCCCCTTTTTGTATTCCTCTAAGATCCCATATTATCTGAACTTATCTGCAAGTATCCTCTTCCCAATCCCCCTCCCACATCCCGTATAATAATTCCACCTTTGTGTGTTTTTGCATTTTGGCATTTGGCTAGTGAAAATTTTCTTGTCATGTGATTAAAATCCAAGAATCTTGAATTGGCCTCTTGCATCCTAACATGTTTAATCCAAGGAGAGAGTTGTACCCCTGCTAATTATGCTTTCCTGATCCTTACAGGGCACTGCCACAGATCTTGTGGTACAGATTGTTCTGATTGCCGAGTCCATGCGACTGCAGGCCATGATGGCCACCTATGGCATTCAAACCCAGACACCACACGAGGTTAGTTGTGGTCGAGAATTTTTGGGAACATTGTAAGAACCCTTTGCCTTCTCCAGGTGGAGCCTGTGCAAATCTGGAGCTCCACGGAGCTCATCAAAGTCTATCAACATTTGGGCGTTAACAACAAGGTTGGCCTGTCCGGTCGTCCTTCGAGACCCGTTGGCTCGCTGGGCACCAGCAAGGTGTACCGCATCTGCGGCATGACCGTCCTTTGCTACCCACTTATCTTCGAGGTCTCCGATTTTTATCTCTACCGGGACATGGCGCTGCTGATCGATGACATCAAGACGGAGCTGCAGTTCGTGGGAAAGTACTGGCGCCTGTCGGGTAGGCCCACGGTGTGCCTTCTCATCCGGGAAGAGCACATGCGGGATCCGCAGTTCAAGGAGATGCTCGACCTGCTGGCCATGCTAAAAAAGGGCTACTGCGACGGCATGAAGGTGCGCATCGGTCGCCTGCAAAATCTAATTAGCAGCTCCTGCATCGAGCATCTGGACTTCATGAACCAGAGCGATCTAACCGACAACGAGAACGCATTCTCGCAGATAAATCACGAGTATATCGGGTACCAGTCGCTGACGGATGTGCCCAAGGCTCTGACCTATGTGGAGGAGAAAGTTTCCGTGGCGGTGAGTAAACTCATCTAACCAAAAGGAGAAAATGTTGCCTACAATAATAATTGAGTTGTACTCCAGCACTTTGATAAGCAACCGACGCCGGATATCATAACTGCTTTGCGGAACACCGATTCCATTTACTGTCTGTGCCAACTGTGGGGCATTCTACTCAACCGCGAGGGTCCACACTTCGAGGTGAATGGCCTAAACGTAAACACGGCTCTGACGCAGCTCTACCATCGCGCTGGGTCCCTGCGCTACTGGCGTGCCGTCCGCTACTGCTCCTCGCTGCTCCATCACATTGTGGACTCCATCAGTCCATTTATTACCACGGTACTGGTAAATGGCAAGGAACTCACAGTGGGCATCATTGGGCAGAAGGAGACGGTCTTTGACAAGCCCATGACTCCGGCAGAGATCCAGAATGTGATGTACACGAGTGTGCAGCCCTACGACGTCATCCAGGCAGTGCTACAGCAGGAAGTGGTTCTATATTGCGGTCGCCTGATAGCCACCAATCCATCCATGTTCCGAGGCATACTGAAAATTCGCATTGGCTGGGTCCTGGAGGCCATGAGGATCTATCTGCAGATCTCGGGACAGCAAAGCATTGACGTGGACAATCTTTCGCCCTTCCAGGTCCGCATTCTTTTGCAGAAAGTTCTAACCGTCAGCGAGTGGGCGACAGAGGAGAAGTATAATAAAATTCGTATATTATTTTTCGATTTTACACATAATTTTTTTTCAAAACAGACTCACTACCTTGCAACGGCGCCAGCTGGAGGGCTGTCTGTGCCGAGTGCCCAAACACTTTTACAACAAAATCTGGGAGATTCTCCAGCGTACTCCACAGGGAATTTTGACCCAGGGCCATCACCTGCCTGCCACGCCCACATTGACCAACATGAGCCGTGGCGAGTTGACCTTTAATCTGCTGGTCGAGGAGACGCTGATTTGCATTGACCGTCCGGAGAGGCGTCAGATAACTGTGGAACTGCTGTGCATAGTGGCCACCATTCTTAATCGGTAAGAGATTAATATTTATATAATTATAATTATAATTATAATATATATTTATATTTAATTTACTTTATTTATTTCCAGCAATCCTGAGCTGCACTTTAAGCAAGCCCTTGACTTGGACGGCATTTTGGCAGAGGCCTTCGCCATGTACTGCAAGGACAACAATATACAGCACCAGCCGCAGCCACAGCCGCAGCAGACCAAGAACGAGGATCTCAAGGCATTCTACTCACTGCCCTATTCGGAGACCACTGGCTATTTGGCACGCGCCGCCGTCAACAAGGTTCTGCAGGGCGGCATTTTCTCCACCTCCGAGGAGGATGTCCAGCTCGATGGCGATCATTTGCACGACGACAACTGCAAGGTGTCTTAAGCGAAGGAGGATGGATTAAAAGCTTATGTACATAGCACAGTTTGGCATATCTTCGTGACAATGACCCCACCACAACCACTAGCTCGAATTTTGTGGCTATTTTATTGTGTTATTCTTATTTAACTTTCGTCTCTCTCTTTCTCTTTGTGTCCTTTGCTCGCTTAGTTCTTAATTAAATGTTATGTATATTTTGTTGCAATAATCGAAGGTGTTGCATGTGCCGAGTGTTTGATTAGTTAATAGGTCAATAGCATCGCGGGGGTTGGAAACCAAAGCAAACTAAGCGAGCCCTAACCTTGCCTAATGCAAGCCGTATCGATTGCCAGCACTTATGTCACCCTTGCCCTCGTTGGCTATAAAAGCTCTTGGCCATTTCTCTACTCGGTTTACTTGACCAACAGTCGTCGTCGTCGTCGCACTTGAACAACAACATGCGGGCTCCCGAGTGGATGACCAATGAGATGGCGCGCCTTACCTCCCGATTGGAACGCTACAAGCCAGCGGGCAGTGGCTACAACCGCATCCAATCTATTCGCCTGTCCAAGAGCGTTATGCAGATGCTGAACAATCCGATGCCTGTTGCCTCTGCTGCTAACGCGGCCAATCCTACCACCGTGCGAACGCATCAGCAGGAGAGCTCCTTCGCAACGCCGCACCGACGGCGTGGTGTCCTCAGTCGCAGCGAATCGCAGTGGGAGGAGGTGTATCCTGTCGTAAATATAAGCCGTCAGCAAAGCAGCGAGAGTGCCTGCAGTGGAGATAGTGAATTGCAGTTCACCCACTATCGGAATTGTGCCACGCGGATTCCGTGAATAATTATATATGGGAATTATTATTTTATTTTGCAATATTTGTGAATTTATGTGTTAAGTAACTAATAAACCAAGAAAACAAATCTCAAACCTTGATTTTTCCTGTGGGGTTTTAAGGCTTCAAGTTTTACATCGATCATAGCAAGCTTAAGAGTTTAACCAAAGACAATAGAGTCATAGCCTCATATTGCAAAACGAATTTATGGTCGTGAGGCATCTTGTTAACTCTATTGTCTTTGGTTCAACAAATGCCGAATTTCGACTACAAATTTAAGTTATTTGAATACCTGTGGAAATAATTAAAGAAGTTATGTGCCAAATTTCGATTAGTTATAGTAGGTTTTGAGTCATGAGCTCTATATTTAACAAGAACGAAAGCTAACTTTGGCCAGCCATTGTTTGTATACCCTTGCAGGTAACAATTAAAATATATCATAACTAAGCCAAAAATGCATTAATTTCGATTCGGAAAGCAGTTTTGTGTTAGTTTTTATTATCTAAAAAAAACTGCATACCAAATTTAAAATTTTAAGAAATCAAAATTTTTGGCCATTTTTGCAAATTTTAATGATGTAACCCCTTATCAAATTTCGCAAAAATGGGCAAAAAATCGATTTCTTCCGGACATGTCTAGAAAGATTCGTATGTTAATGCTGATCAAGAATATATATGGTTTATGGGGTCGGAAATGATTCCTTGACTTAGAAAAATATTATTTTGTATTATAAAATCTGATTTTTTTATATTAACACAAAGGTGGTGTACAGGCCAATGATGCTGCAAGAATACATATATTTTTTAAAATTAAAAATATCATAACTCGGCCAAAAGAGCATTAATTTTAAATCGGAAAACTGTTCTGTGCAAGATTTTCTACAATTAATAAATCTGCATACTTCATTTAAAAATTTTGAAAATTAAATTTTTTATCAAAATCAAAAATTTTAATGATGTAACCCCTTATAAAATTTTGCAAAAATGGCCAAAAAATCGATTTCTTCCGGACACATCTAGAAAGATTCCCCTGTTGATGCTGATCAAGAATATATATACTTTATAGGGTCGGAAACGTCTCCTTCACTGCGTTGCAAACTTCTGACTGAAATTATAATACCCTGCAAGGGTATAAAAATGTAAGCCAAAAAATATCCTTTAGTAAAAGGCATTAAAAATTGTATTACAATCAATTTCGGCATTTTATTTGAATTCGTATGTAAGTTCCACGTAGTTAAGCTTATTATTGAAAATTAAACGCTAAAAAATAGGTACAATCTATAGGTATATATATACTTTTTAGGTTTTTCGTTTCTTTGTATAAAAATTCATTTGTTTATAATTTGATTTTTACATTTGTTGTGTTAATTCGTTTCGATATACATGTATAAAATAGCACATAAAGATTGGTAAGTTTTGGGAGATTGCCTATGGGAGATATTTGTGTTCAAAGCCTACGCTCAGAGAAGCATTAACAATTGAAATTTTGATATGAATTCGCCTAGATAATGTTCGCTTAAGCAAATGATATTTGCATTCAATACAAAAATATGTCTCGCGATGATATGCCTATAACTAAAGTCAACGCACGATCTAGAGATTTATAACAAACAGTTTAACATATACAATAATATCCTTAATCAGTTTTGTAAAGGGCACACACAGGCAAATATCATAGAAATCTATGCGCGACTCGAAGCAGTTTTGATTAATATTATTACATGATATTATTCGCTCGTATAAATACAAAACATTGATTACCTAAGGTGTTATTATTTACTGCGGATGCTTCAATTTGGGTTAGTTAAATATTTAAGGTTTTTTGTAAAATGCTAATTTCCCTGAATATGAGTTTTCATCATCATCATCATTATTATTATTATTAGTTTTTCCATCTTAAATAATAGCTTAATTCGATTATTTGCTTTCGTTAGGCAATTACATGTACAATTCACTAGTATTTTCATTTGTTTAAACTAACAAACAGCAACACTTTTCGCTTACTTAGGTCTAAATACTTCGACGCTTACGGACTAGCCACACGTACGTACATAATAAATGTATGCAAAATAGTTTGTGTACAGTATTATCTGACTCTTGCGGTTTCATCATCACACACCGGGCAGTACTTTTGACAAAAAATCGAACGAACGGTGTAAACTGTATAAATATGAGTGATGTGTTTGCTTTGTGTGTTTGATTTGTTGTGTTGTGTTCTCTTCTCCGACGTACGTATAAAAATGTTTACAAAAAGACTATGAAACCTACGACAACGCAATACGTACTAAATACGTAAACGAATTCTACCTTATCTAAGTGCCTAGGTTAGCCCTATGTTATTGTGGTTGCAGCTGCTCGGGCCGGCGCACACTCATCCGGCTGGGTATTGAGTCGGTGTCGCCGTCATCGTCCACATACTCCTCCTTGGGACGGGTCCACTTGATCAGCGTCTCGGGCGATCGGTACAGGAAGAGTAATTTGGCAAACAGATCCTCCTCAAGGGCGAATTCCAGGGCCTCGCGTACCTAAAATTAAAGGAAAGAAAATCAAATTATATTTATTTTGATTTTTTTATCAATTAAAATATCTGACCAAGTAAATATCCAGGCACAGTTGCAGTACCCTATCCACGTAGGGCAGATCCTCGAACATGATCTTTCGATTCTGTCCGCCGATGAAGGACTTCATGAAGCGCGAGGCCAATAACACAAAGGTGGTGTACAGGCCAATGATGCTGCAAGAATACATATTTAATGTATATTCTCCTGTAAACAACAAAAAACCACTTACCCTCCCGCTGTAAGGAAGCTAAACGTCGATGGGAACTTCTTGTCGTTGAACGTGTACATCACTATTCCCGATGTGCAGTTGCTGTAGGCAAACTTGGACAGCGTTTCGTTGTAGAAGGTGTCGTTGCAAAAGTCCCGGATCTCCCACCACAAGCCATTGGTTTCGTTGTCCCGATGCATTTTGATGACCAGTGGTCGGTAGTCCTGATGCTTTTCACTCAGCACACTGACCACAGCCGCATCGCCCGAGTTGAGAACCTTGATGAACTTCGGGATCATGGCGGGCAGCACGACAACTTCTTCGGCCACGGGAGTGGCCACAATGGTGCTATTGTCTGTGATGTTACTATTGCTGACGCTGATGACTGGATCCTGGTCATGATTCTCGCTGAGCATGTGGATGAGCGCAGCGCGGCCCTCAAAGGATTCGTCCAGTGAAATTGCATGCTCATCGCCCACATTCTCTTTAAGTCCCTTGGCCGGTGCCTTACGCGTTAGGGAGTAGGAGAAGCGGGCCTTAAGAGTGTGATCTAAAATGCAAGATATTTGTTTAAATATTTCTATAATGTCCAATGCTATACTAGTTATAATGTTTTCCCTCAAAAAGTATGGTATTTGTACAGCTTATTTAAAAACTTACTGTTTCGCAAATCATTGAGCAACCGCTGCCTATCCGGCGGTGCTATATTCCAAAGGGATGGCGAGTTGCCAGCCAGCTTAACCGCCGCCACATCCGTTGCATCGTAGCCAGTGATGAAGGTCAGAGCCTGTTTGTCCTTAATGTATGCGTTTGTCATCTGAGAGTACATCTCGGGATTTATCTCGAAAATGCTGTCGTAGTTATTCGTGGTGTAGATAGGATCGTAGGGTCCAATTCTAATGGATAGAGACACCTGGAAGGGCACATTCGAGGTGCCCACGGCATTGCCCAGGGCAAAGAGGCACAGCGGTCCCCAAATGCAAATCACAATCAGGAGAACGATTGTGCCGCCCATCAGGAGTTTGGACAGCGAGGCCTTCTTCTGGGCCCTCATGGCCGGAAAGTCGGTCTCTGACTGCCTGGTGCACCGTATCAGATAGATGTTCGAGAAGATGTCCTCCATCTTCAGCCAGTCGAATATGGTCATGGTGCTGTCGATGCATACCCAGTCCAGAATGGTGCGCAGCTCGTACAGGAACGGAATCTGCATGTACACCTTGAACGCAATCATGTTGACCATGGAGAATCCCTTCGTGAAGAAGTTGCCCAGAATGCGCTTGGGGTAGCCGGATTTGATTTGGTAGGAACTCAGCAGCATGTAGAAGCACTTGATCACGTAGAAAATGATGGGCGGTGCCAGGGAGTTGAATGTTCGCTCCGTGACAGCTGGCACCACGAAGAACATCCAGATGTGTATGCCGATCACCGAGAAGAAGTGGAATATTATTTTGTTCACCAAGGCCTTCCGCAAGTACAGAGCTCGGTCTATGACGATGAGCAGGAACTGAACCAGCAACATGATGAGGAAGGGTATGGGCACTTTGTTCTCCGCCAAATAGGTCTGGACACCCTCATCGCTTTCCGTTTGTTGAGTCTGTTTTAAAGAAATTTATATAATTTATAATTTACTATTTCATAATAAACTTTCACAGTATATTCTATAAATAATAAACTATTTTTTAGCTAAGCAATTTTGGTTTCAAGGCTCTAACTCTACTTACTCCGAATGCCGTGAAGCCAAAGAGCAGCACAAAGAAGTTGACGAAATCGCAGAGGAACATCAGGGCATAGACATCTGTGGCAAGGCGGGATTTGTGCACCAGACTGAAGAAGAACTTGTGCAGCGAGGAGGTGTACTTGGTCCGTCTGTGATGCAATATTTTAGTGTCAGGCACAAATAAAGAATAAACTGGAACAGGGAATTCTCTAGATACGTACTCTAGCTGATTGATGCCTGATTTGCTGTACTCTGGCGATCCTGGCAAGGAAGCCTGACTAACTTGCAGGCTCATTTTCTGGGCGGCAGCCTCGTCGTTCAGCTGGCGCGAGTCGGGCTGCGATAGATTGTCGCTATCATCGCGATCATCACTTATAGAATAAGAACATTTTGTTAAGGAAAATATATTTATATTGCCAAGAACTCTACAAACTTACATGCTAGCGGTGGGTCTGGTGAACTGGTTATCCGTATCCTTGTAGCCAGATTTCCACAGGCCCTGCGATTTGAGCAGGTATCGGTGCAGGAAGAGTACCAGCAGCAGAATCAAATCATAAATCGCATAGTGGGTCTTCATCTCCACGCCGAAGATCTTGGCTGGTGTCAGGGG